GCCGCCCACGTTGTCGTCCCTCCTCTCCGCCTCGACCCCAACACGCCAGGCTACCTCATGGGCCTGCTGGGAAAGTATGTGCTCAGTACAAAGTGGGACGTGCTCCTAAAATACAGCAGTGATATCAAAGACGTAGGAGGGTCGATGCTTAGTGATGATTTGGACCAATAACATTCATCTTGTTTCCAGCGACTCTCTGAGTGTTGTGGCATCAGAGCACCGTCCATTTAGCATCAAGCAGAGGGCTTTGGGCAAAGACGACTTCACAAAGATCCCTCACGGAGTGGCTGGAGTCCAGGACAGGATGAGTGTCATTTGGGAGAGGGGAGTGGTACGTAGAAACACACGCACACATGTACACATATACACACTTAAGCTGTAAACCTGCTAGTTTTTTGTGTTTTAAGCCAATGAAAATTTGTGTTTTCATTGGCTTGTGGTTACTGCATTAATTTAATAACAAGCCGAAGAAATAATGTACACACATTTGCATTGCTTTGACCAAGGAACCAAGCCAAGCACAACAAAATGCTATTCCGAAAGAAAGAATCCTTTGATGCTAATTAAAAATTCAAAGCTCACAAAGATCTGAGTTGTCCTTGGCCTCGCATGTTTTTGATGAATGAATGCCCTCAGGTCACAGGAAAAATGGACGAGAATCGCTTCGTGGCAGTGACCAGCGCTAACGCTGCCAAGATCTACAACCTGTACCCGCGCAAAGGCCGCATCATCCCCGGGGCCGACGCCGATCTGGTGGTCTGGGACCCGGACGCAGCAAGGTACGCGGCCAGATTCACAGCATCACTACGGGGATCACGTTATTCCTGTTTCATTTATTCGGTGACGCTGCTCTGTCTGGCGCAGGACCATCTCGGTGAGCACGCAGGCGCAGGGAGGAGACTTCAACCTGTACGAGGGGATGCGTTGCCACGGCGTTCCCCTGGTAACCATCAGCCGGGGGCGCTTGGTGTGCGAGAACGGCGTGTTCATGTGCGCCGAGGGATCCGGGAAGTTTTACCCTCAGCGCACCTTCCCCGACTACCTCTACAAGAAGATGGTGCAGAGGGAGAAGGTGCGTCACACGGCCCGCTGTGCTAGCTTTTTAAAAAGACTGAATCAAAATGTGCCAAACAACTGCAGACACGCCCATTGTAGTGTTTCTATAGCTGGCCTGATGGAGTATTCAAAGGATTGAACGCGCCTGCTCTATTGGGACGCTGACACGTTTTTTTCTGCTGCTGCTGCTGTCGGCAAAAACCCTCGGCTCTGTTTTAACGACCCTGATTATACTGCTAACTACATGAGAAAAACTATGCTTTCTGGAAGTTATTTATGTATCCCAGAAGTATAGATGTGCCTCAACTCATGTTTTTTTGTATAGGGCTTCTTATTTATGCGTAATTTGGCACTGGTTATAATCTTGAAGTAAAAAATGTACAGAAGTACAAGGTGTAGTTTTCTTGTTTTTAGATTTGATTTTCTGAGTGCTCTGTGAACGATGGGTATTTCACAACAGATATGCGACACATTCGTAAAAATACGGATATTTTTTCAGACAAAATATGTAAAAGGCAAAAACTCTGAGCTTTATTCTTCTCTTGAGGATGATTAAGATGAGAACTGTCAGGTCCAGTAAACATTTTGTGATGTGGTCAGTTTTGCAACATGATGAAAGTGTTATGAATAGGACTACCCTTGCTAGTATTCTATCTATTACTTTATGCGCTCGCTAGCCAATGACACCAGATGATAGAGTGTGTGTTCACATTCCTCCATGAAGAGGAGATTTCAATTATAGTTGAACTTTTGGTTTTTACGTCTGCATTTGGTGTGTACTGTATTTACTTTGGACCTCTCCCCTGCTCCCTCTCTGTTTCAGACCCAGGCTTACAAAGGGGTTGACAGGGATGCCTACTCTGGTGATGTGGCCAAGGTGGCGAACACCATGAAGAAGGAGCTCGGTTTGGGCCCGATGGACGGAGAGACGACCAACAAGGGCTGTCCTCGCGTGCACCAGGGAGTCCGAGACCTCCACGAGTCCTCGTTCAGCCTCTCAGGTCGGCTGGAATGGAGCTGATGACGTTGGTTGTTGAGTGAAAATGAATGTAGTTGTTGTTGATTCATAAATGTCTGTTTCTCTCTCAGGAACTCAGGTCGATGACCACGTCCCGAAGAGGTCCTCGGCCCGGATCCTGGCCCCTCCCGGCGGTCGCTCCAGTGGTATCTGGTAATCACTGCTGCCGGAGCTACACCTGTCCGAGTCTCCTTGTTTTGTATTATTCTACCCGACCAGGAAAACTGCACTGATTTCTCAATCACAGGATTACAGTTAAAAGTTGGATATAAATTGAAGCTTGCTTCTGTGATTGGTGAAGACATAACGGATGATCAGTGATTAACCAAAGTGACTTTCACGGATCTAATTTGTGTCTTAATTGGAGTGACTAAACAATTACACATGAGGGCTATCTATGAATTTAAAATGGTTTGCCAAATTCAAGCTGATCATACTAACATTGACCAAGTCTGCTCATTACCACCCTGCTCGTATCCCACGAAAAAAAACGCAAATTAAACAAACTGTGAAAGATTAAAACCAGTACAGTTTTTGTGGTTTGAACTGAAGTGATGTCGACTGAATAATTTAAAAATAGTAGAACTGAAATATCTATTATACCTCTGTCACTCACTCACACACACACATGCATACGTTGCACCGTAGACAGTATAGAATTAGACTCATATGGAGACGTGTGTGGATTATGTTTGTGATTTAACACCCACTGTGCCGGCTTCCTGCTGCACCGTGGGTTCCTCTAACAGTGTTTTTGTTTCCAATGGGAGAACTGCGCTGTGTGGTGATGAAATCCAACTGCTTCAGAACACTGTGTGATTTTACGGCTACACGCTACTCAAAATAGAATCAGACCTGAATCTTTCCGTCATTCTATTTTCACTGCTGAAACTGAAACAACACTCCCATTGCACAAAAATATCCTGCCTCACCTGCATTGTAGCAGGGTCTCTGGACTCAGTTACAGAAGTAGACGACCTGTGGGCTGTGATTATGACTGCTCCCTCTACTGATCCCACAGAATGTGGTCACATCTGTCATGGAAACATTTTATCTATAGACCTTGCAAAGTGCGACAGGACTGAAGATATGTCTCTTACAGGGAAGGATGAAGAGTACGTGACTTCAATGAGGAAAATTCAATTCCTTTGCTGCTGATAATACAGAACATGCAAGTGCAGCTCGATGTAATATAGATCACTAAAGTTGAATGCGGTGCCTTCTCATTCGCTGTAGTGATCACTTTCTCAGTGAAAACAAGGGCTGCTGAAAACACCAAGGCCTCATTCATCAAAATGTGCAAGTGATTAATAGATAAACGGGTTGATAGACGCATTAGATAGATTGATTCCAATTAATACGACTATATTGGTTCACTGTAACTGCTGTTGTTGACTTATAGTAGCACCTTATGGGTTGTATTTGAAAGTAATCATTCAGTTAATAAGGAAATAAGAAGGGATCGATTGTTACAAGGGCAGTTAGTCTCCACAGAGCAGGAAGATTGAGCTGCACAGTCTGAAGAAAACCGCTGAGCCTCTCACCTCCTGATGTGTCATTCCTGCTATCAGTATTATATTTATACATGATCCCGTCTTTTTGTCTGTGAACTATATATTTAGGATGCTTGTTTGTTTTGTTTTTTAGCTGAAAGAATAAATGTGCCAATACGAGTCACCGGTGGGACACCCCCACCCATGCATGACGAGCACCACGTGGAGACAGAGGAGTGAAATCTCTCCACAAGCTTACAACAACTGGTGCTGTTTTTTGTAACTTATTACCTACGACAACGTTATTTTATTGTTGGATGGATTTGGTGCTTTTAAAGCTCAGTGATTGGTGGCTGTTTGTTGATTCTTGTCGTGTTGGACAGTGAACTTGTTGAATCTGTAAGTGGCTGCTTATTTCTTACCACACGAATAACAAAAAAAGAATAAAGTGAAAGGAATTACCTCTTTGTTCCTGTTTGTCACCTTTTTATTTCTAAAATGCCTCGAAATGAGGTTTGGTCACATTTGTATAGTGTAAAAATACAAAATCATGAAAGAATTTACAAACTGAAGGTGACAGTGCAGCTGAAACCCATGAAGAAAAAGACAGGTTATAAATTAAAATATTCTAAATGAAAAGCAATGGGGAAAAAACACAGAAAGGTGTATCTGTGTTCAGTTTCTGATTAAGTGTTCACAAATACACTTCACAAACATAAACAGCGGAAATCGTTCTTAACGTAGGGAAATGATTCCAAAAACATAATCACAATCACTATCATGATAATGAGAAAAAATAATGATAATAATGAAGAAATAGCTATGGGACCCTAATGGGATAATATCATGTATTCTACAACGCTTTGAAAGGAGTCATCATGCACAATGACTATTTTTACTTCATGCAAAGCTGTAAAGGAAAATGTAAGATAAGATAAGATAGTCCTTTATTAGTCCCACAATGGTAAAACTACTACTGGAATAAGTAGAAATAACAAGTTAGAGTTTTACCTTCAATATTTATCTTAAGTAAAATTACATAAGTTGGTATCGAAGTGTACTTAACGTATAAAAGTAGATCTAGCAGAATGCAGAATAGTTAAATTGTTATATATTGCATATTATTGGTCAAATCATTTGAACTGCTTAGTTAAATGTATTGCATTTTGTAAGTGATAATGTGTTTTTATTCAATTTCAATCTGCGTAGCTATTAAATTAACGTAGAGGTATAAGAAGTACGACAGGTGACAATAGTACTTTTGTAGTCTTACTTAAGTAGCCCTCTGAGAACAGGACTTTTGCTGCTGGTATGGTTGTTACACTTTGGTAATCAGAGGACGTGAACACTTGCTCAGGTTAATCATCACACATGGGCGCTGACGTGTATTTGCTCCATCATGGTGGTGCGCGGAGCCCCAGTCACAGCTGCTCTGCGCATGCGCACTCACGGCTTTGGAAGGGAGCGCGGTCTCGCGTAACTTTGCTGAGGAAACGGTCGGCTCACAGCAACAGCAACAGCAAAGCCCATCATCGCACACACAACGGGACGCTGTCGCACTTCAGTGAGTAACACCAACTCAACTTAACTTAAAATAAGCGTCCTCACGAATGAAAACAGTCCATTTAACGGCTTGTTTCATTTACGTCTCACTTGAATGGTCGCGTCGTCCCGTAGCGGAGAGTTATTCAGTCATTCACAATGTGCGTGTGCCTCATCGAAAAAGGCCTCCAGAGAGGCGTAACGTCGGGCTGGAAGACCAAAGTCTCCTCTTCGGTACACTCGGGCGTGTTCGTAGTTCGCTTACACCCACTGCGGTAAATTAGGTGGGCACTCTTTAAATTAAAACGCAACCGTCCACTAGCACCAGGCGTTAGCGGTGTTAGCTCGCAGCTAGCGGGGGAGGGACACGGAGGCGCGCGGGGACTGTCGCACTTAGCGCGGCCGCACCGTCAACGGCCAGAAACACGGACCGGCGGCACCGATCGGACCCACGTCGCGATTCGTAGGGTTCGTGACAGAACGCCGGAGGCTTAACGTGGTCAATGACGCACTTTTGTTGAGCCCGGGACTAATGGTATCGCCTGATTATACAGTCTATCCGCGGAGAGATGAAAAATGAAATATAATGTACCCAATTACTGTGTAAATCCTCTAACTGCTTATTTTCTGGAACGTGATATTTATTTTATCCCATGATGTCCTTTGACTTGTTCTATGCGACTGTATAAATCATTCCCCTTATTTATTTAACAATTTTGTAATCTGTTAGAGGTGTAGTAGAAGCAGAATGGTGCTAATAGGTGTATTATGTTTCTTAAATGCTGTGTCATCTTTTATCACAAAAACAAAGAAAAAAACTAAAACCTAAGACCTTTCTGTCAGTTGGATACAATATAATAAGCACACTTAAGAACCGCACAATCAGACCAACGCAAACTGTCACATATGAAAGAAAAGAAACAATTCCCTGACAATTTCAAGCCAGAATTAACAGTTAACGAATTGCCCACTTGGTTTCAGTATCTTAATTTGGTAGGGAGAACAGGAGGAAAGAAAAAGCTTTCAGAAATCATTATTATTATTCTAAACTTGAACTATAATAAAGGGTGAAATGCAACAAAAACCAAACATATATCTAGTGTGCTGTGTTTCAGATCTGGGGAAAGTTTACAGCCAAAACAGCAGCATTTGTCTGGTCGACACTGTTTAAATGCTGTCAGTTCGCAAGAAACGCTTTTGTTAATGGTGGAACGTTCCTTGTCTCAAAGCGGTGATCGGTCGTAGCTCTGTTGTTGTTTTTGGGCATGTTGGATCCTCTCGCTGGTGATCTCAGCTGCGTTCGTGCAGCACATTTTTCAACCTGGGCTAAACGGATTAGCTGAAGCAGAGATTAGTGAGTGAATGACTGGTGGGTGAATGGCTGCACGTTTTTCGGGGGTGTTTTTGCTCGTGGTGACCATGTGGGGGAGCTCGTGTGCAAAACACCAAACTGGTTCTGACCCACTGACACAGATGTATAGAGCTTGTTGCGTTTAAAGATGACAAGCTTCAGATGTCTAGAATTGCCAGTTCAATCGATAACTTTGGAGTGTGATTGTTTCCATTGTGCTTTCTGAATGGTTTGCCATCATTGCTGTCTCACAGGTTACGAGTTTAAGTCTCCGGGTGTTTCTGCTGCGTGGTCCATCACAAACAGATTTGAACAGTTCGCACCAAACACACAAAGCTTAGGTGAGTAGTGTCTATTTTTTTATTTAATCTTTGTCTTACCTGGCCATGAAGCAGTGGAGCAAGCAAATATTGCAAATTGCTTGATAGGACACCTAATCATAATGATGATCATAAACTTTTATTTCTAGGGGTACTTATAAGGCAAATAAATCAGACCATACTAAAGTCCTACGAAAATAAAATGGAATTAAATACTGTGACTTTGTCAGTGGACCTTGTTTTTTTAAATTATTTTATTGAGTATATTTCCATTATTTAAAATCGATTTATGGCAATCCCAGGTTGACTTTGTAAAAAGTCTGCTGTCGTATTTTACCACTGCTTTAGTAATGATACATTACTGACTCGGAGTAAAAACCCTTGGCTCCATGGGTGACTGCAACCTAAACTTAACCCCTTTAGGCCGCTCAGCCGACTGGCCTCTCTTCACTTGCAACGTAAACAAATACAAAAGGTGCAAAGCAAAGCTTGAAGATGGAGAAGTAAAGGCTGCACAAATTCGCGGAAAGACAGGAAATGATGATCACATGTGTGTGTTTGTGTGATCTGTGTGTGTCTCAGTGGATCAGGAGGATGGCGGTGAATGTTTACTCCACCTCTATGACTGTAGAGAACCTCAGTCGCCATGACATGTTGGCATGGGTCAATGACTCCCTGCAGCTCACACACACGAAGATCGAGCAGCTCTGTTCAGGTAAACTCACACCTTTTTTTGTTTTTTTCTTTTTTAATGCGGCATTTTAACTCAATTCAAAATGCATCAAGTAAAACTCCTCATCCATCTGCACCTCCCCCTTCCCTCCCCCAGGTTCTGCCTACTGTCAGCTTATGGACATGCTGTTTCCAGGGTGTATATTAATGAAGAAGGTTAAGTTTAATGCTAAACTGGAACATGAATACATCAACAATTTCAAGGTCTTGCAAGGTTCTTTCAAGAGAATGAAGGTGGACAAGGTGAGAACACGACACACTGATTAACATGCTTTAAGACTAGATCCGATTAGAACCCCGTCACTAACTAGATAAAACAAGGAGATTCCAGGCTTAAAGCGCTGCTAACCTCCAAAACCTGCGCAGAAGGCGTAAAGTTGCTTGTGATACACATACAATGGCCATTGTAAGTATCTCACTAAAAGAAAAGTGATTCATTTAATTATTTTGTTCAAAACGTCAGGGGCATTTATGATTCATATGCTTGTGATGCCTGGTGGTTATTTAGCTTTAGGGTTGTCTGAGAGAAATGATACGGATATCACGCCGTCTGGGTTAGCGATTCGGTGTCTCCTTATTTTTCTTAGATTGTAGCTTCGATGAAAGAAACGTACATTAGCACCGTTGTGTGCAAGTTTGGGATGATTTGCATAACAAATTTACCATTTTTAAAAATTAAATTTTTTCGCACATTTTGAAATTCATTAATCACAATTAAATTAAGTTTGTTTTTCCTCTAAAGACTAAATCGTATAAAGTAAGTAATGACCTTAAAAAGTTTTTTTAGACACTGTTGACACAATTGTATTTTTTTTTTTACCTCCAAGGCAGAATTCCACCGGGTGGAACATGTTGAACTAGCCACTCCTCCTGCTGTCCTTGTGCACTTTGCTCTCAACTCTTCATCATTTGACGCTGTGTTTTGAAGTGCCAACAAACTCCCCACATTTAACCAGGACGTTTTCCATACCGCTGTCTTTTAGGGACCCAGTCGTGGTCCTCTGAAGCCTAACAGCTAGCTTAGCCTAGCAGTGCGTACGGTGGTCTCAAGCATTGATATATATTTTTTCTTGATGAGTACAGGATGTTCCTGTTGGAAGTTTGTTTTGGCTTGGGTTTTGTGCGCTTTAGGGCGACCCACGGGCTGAAGCAGATCCATACTCTCATCAGTCAGGACACAAATAGCCGCTCACATAGAAAAGCTAAAAAGTGGTACAAGCTTTTCTATGTATGTCAGAAGATTTGAAATAAGATTAACAGATTAGAATCTGTAGAGTAATTATGAATAAATCCCACTGTTTTTACATTTGTGCCGTCATATCAACTGGAGGAAAAATTAAGTGTGAGCCAACTTTTTTTAGAGGGAAGGGGGACATGCACATGCACACATCTGCTCTCTGCCGAGAGCACTTTTAGTTTCATTTCATGACCTTTTGGTAGCCAACTGTCCATCGCAGTGTTTAGCCTGGCACGGCAAGGATTGGCATGGCTTTGATATCCCTATCTCTGCTGTTTAAATAACTCTCTCTCTCCCCATCTCAGATCATCTCCGTGGAGAGGCTGGTAAAAGGGAAGTTTCAGGACAACTTTGAGTTCCTTCAGTGGTTTAAGAAGTTTTTTGATGCCAACTATGACGGGAAAGAATACGATCCTTTAAGCTCAAGGCAGGGCAATGAGGGGACGCCGCCTCCACCACACCCAGGTACACTAAGCACACACACACACACCTGTCACTATCAGCTGTTTGTGAACCCAAATGCTTCCTTCTATTGCTGTCATGCAAACATCACCACCTCTAACACAGATGAACCCATTCGCCACAAACCTAAAACACCCTCACGATCAGGTAACATCCCAATCACAGAGCGTGTGTGCGTGCTTCTCGATGTTTGCAGTGTGTCTTACCTCGATTCAACCGGAATTACATGATGTATGGATTTGTTTTTTTCTGGGCTGTATTAAGGCCTACAACAAGATATCTGTAGTAGTACGCAGCTACAAATCAAGTAGGGCTGCAACTAACGATTATTTTGATAATCGATTAATTGGTCGATTATTTCTTCGATTATGCATGAGTGTTATATGTATGTATAGGCTCATTTTAAGTGCCTCATCACTAATCAATCAGATTACATTTCTATAAATGTGCTTGCTTGCAGGAGACTTCATGGAACGCATCATCACCCAATGAGAATAATGATCTCAACTCTTTCAGAATATGTAGATGAAAACAAGCCCATAAAATCAAATTAATACCAATGAATAGGATTTATGTATTGTATCAGCTTATGCATATATGTATGTGTTGATGACCATATAGAACTAGGAGTTTTATTATGGTCGTGAATGTGTATGGGAGAATCAGTATATATACATTGTTCATAATCAGACATTTGATCAATTGAAGCAGTAAAATGTATAACAAAATAAACATTCAGAAGTTTATTAAGCGACAAATAAACCAACAGAACTTTACGAAGAGCCAACACTGTACAGTGTGTCAGACCGTGTGTGAGACATGAGAAAGAGACTTAACTGAGACTGTGGCGACTGGTGGAACATTTTGTCGGTATGGCTATCCAATTAATTTTAGCAAACATCCTAGAAGGATTCATTGCAAAACTATAGATGTATCAAACACGCCGGCCAGCCAGCTTGCTGGCTCGTCCGGCCTAGCTGACTGGCAAGGTGAAGGGCGGGACGGCGGCCGGCCGGCCAGCTAGGAGGCTGGGTCAAAGCCAAATACGTTTAATGGCAAATCGTTTACGTTGTACACGCATTTAGGAGAATTCTATTAGTCAACACGTTTATGACAATTCCATTCGTCAACACGTGACCATTGAAAAATAACACCACAATCTATTGGCTCGTATTTCCCGTCAATAACACAAAACAGATAAACAGGTGATTACCCACAATGCCATTGACACACTTTCAGGGCTCACACGTGTCACGCACGTGTCGTCTTTTACACAGCGGTGTCTCTGCGACTCGTTGAGTGACGTCATTTATCGCGCGACACAAACAATCGATAATGACATTTGCTTTTAATCTTATTTGATCGATTTCATCGATTCTTTGTTGCAGCCCTAATATCAAGCATATCATTTTCAATGTCAGGGACATTGTCCCGTCAAAATCAGCACATACATTTATATATTTGTCATTTTCACACTGCTTCCTGGGCCCTTTACAGCAGCTCAGCGCCCCTTAATACTTTTTCCCAATCATCACCAAAGCGTCTTTTTGCTGTGTGTCTACTTTGCTGTGTGCCTACTACAATGGTTTTGCTCCAAATAAGATGGAGCAAAAGCATAAAAGAGCTTTTGGGTGGAAATTGTTCCCTCATAATGCAAGTATTACAAAATGAGTGCAAACGGCCCGATCTCGACGCCCTGACAAGTGAAGCTAACGTTTGTGTTTTTCTTCTTCTAGGCCCCATGAGAACATCTCCCACAGCACCAAAGAGTGTTTGCCCCCCCCCGAGGCAGATAAACCTAGCACCGGTCCGCAAGACATCTCACGTGACCCGTAACGGAGACGTTGAGCTCATAGAGCTCAACCAGCAGGTAATGAATGTTTTATCTCCTCAGCCATTTACCAAAAAGAATATTTTACAGCATCGAGGCAGCAGCGCAGATATCTCATTCGTTGCATGTTGATTACACCCTAGCATGTTCATTGAGTTTCTCACTACTAGCACGAACGTGTTGGTAACATTGTAACATGCCCTTTTAATATTCCTTCGTTTGTCGGAACTGAAAAATGTCGACGTGTAGTTTGGATTAGTGGTCACGGTTATTCATTCTATATTACCTTGTACAGTTTTTTGTTTTATGTTCATCTCATACTCCCAAGCTGTTTAACCGACCTCCCTCTGCTCATAGCTGCTGGACTTAAAGCTGAATCTAGATGGACTGGAGAAGGAGAGGGACTTCTACTTTGGAAAGCTGAGAGACATTGAGCTGTTGTGCCAGGACAAAGACAACCCGATCCTCAACAAAATCTTGGATGTACTCTACGCTACAGAGGTGAATGCCTTGATATCATACACACAGAGAGCACGTGCATTGGTGCGGAGGATGTTATATTTTTACAAAGTATACCTAAATATATTAGCACAGATCAAATGTATCAGTCTGTGCACATGTATCAATCTAATGAGGTTAACTGACCGGAGCCTTTTTCTGCAGGATGGATTTGCACCACCTGACGATGAAGAAATAGAGGAAGCGGCACAGGGGGACCAGGAGGAGTTCTGAATTGTCCCCCCCCCCCCCCCCCCCCCCCCCCCCAAAAAACACAACCCCCATATAATTTTTTAACCCCCTTTTAGGGGAATTTTTGGGGCCCATTTCTTCTTTATATATTTTTATCACCCTCCGCCCTCTCCCCCAACTTCCGCTATGGCATGACTAGAAGTATTAGAGTAGATCCCTCTGACCAACCATTATAAACCAATTTGAGAAGTCACCACACGCGTGAGTGGACGAGAGACCCGGCAGCAAGGGCTCGGCTCACTCGACTTTATTCTAACTGTTACCAGAGGGGGACAGCTGCGGCGGGTCGCTAGAAAGGTCTCGGGTTAAAAGCAATGAGATTACAGGGATCCAGCGCTGACATCCTGTCCCATCGATCCGTCTGTCTTAAGAGGCAGGGCACTTTTTCTCACCTTGCACTTTAATTGGTGATCATATATATACACACACACACACACACACACACACACACACACACACACACACACATGCGTCAAGGTGCTCTGCAGAGTTTATATATGAAACCACAATGTTATCCACACAATGTGATCTGTTTAAGGAGGTGTTAAAGGCTCTACGGAGGGAGGCTTGCACATTTATTTTGAACATATTGAATATGGGGACACACACACAGACGTACATTTAGATGCCGCACATATCACAGACTTTGAACTGCTCACGTCCATAGAGAAATCATCATCATCAAGAGTCTGCATTTGTTCATCATAGTGTGTCCCACCTGAGAGGGTCTGCTTATGACCCTTTCCACAGCTTGTTAATGAGGCAGCCTGGTTTATTTATGTTTTTATTTATTCATCGATTTTGAAGGTGTTGCACTAAATGTAGCAAAACAGACGGAAATGATCCCAAATGCTAACATGGAGTAAAGATACAGGAAGATTTTTATTTTATATTTTTAGATCTGTTTTAAAGAGGTTTGTTTTTTTATTGGCATTAAATTCCTCAATGGCCGAGGTAGAGGCATCGGGTTAAGGGTTGTTCCTCTGACAAAAGTCAGCCTTTAAACTGTAAAACAAAACAATCATAATAAAGTAAGACTACGAACAGACACTACTAAATACTAATGTCTGACTGTTAATTATTCTTCTGATTCCCGTATTTAATTCAGCATTGTTGCAAAGCGTTTGCCGTGCAGGAACACTTGGTGTGGGTTTTTGTGAGTGACAGCCAGTAGATGAACCAGCTCTCTCGCCATTTGTTGCTATGGCAGCCATGTGATGAACTTACATAGTTTACAGGTGCTGCTGGAATGAAATAAAGCTCTGATGCTCCAGAAAACAAACAAACAAAACGTTATTTTGGTGTGTTCTGTGTGTCTCATGCATCGCGAGCGGTGTTATATCTAGTGACTAAAATGCATCACAAGCACGCAAAACAACAACAATGTATTGCCACATACAACCAGATTAACATATTGACCTAGCAGGACGGATGTTTGTTTTTCATATTCACATCATACACTTAATATCAAGACTTTAAAATAAGCTGAACATCTTTTTACATTTGTCCAAAAAGTTTACATGTTTTTCACTGCTGTTGCTAAAATATGAATATTATTTGCAGTCTTTGGTTCATAAAAAGCAATGTGCCGTGATATGAACAATATTTTGGGCTGCGTCCTTCTCATTTTAAAAGATATTTATTTTTGAGAATAAAAACAGCCCAGTTATATAGTAGTTTTAGTATATCCATTTCTCAGCATTTACACACCTCAAAGATCAGGACTGTTGTCCATGACAGAACCGCTCTGCTTTAGTTTCCAATTCAAAATATGTGAATAACATCCATTCATGTGGCATAGGGCTTTAAAGTAATTTGCCATATTACTCATCTTGTTATAATAGAAGACTGGAAAAAACAGCAAGTATTGAAGCCAGAAACAGGAATAGGTGGATTTATGTTACTTTAAAAGTATTCATAAAGATATTCCTAAAGTGCCTTAAAATAATTCGTTTGTCTAACATACTTTGGCAATAAATGATCCTGATTTGTGATTTCACCAATAGGCAGAAGAACTAAGAAATAAAAGTCCTACATTGAACAAGTAGCTCAAGTACAAAAGCAGTATAGTAGTAATTATGTAGCATAGACCATTTGAATATGATATATATTCTAATAATGAATTTAAATAATTCATGCAATAATGTGGACATTCATTTAATTTAAATAAATACAACATATATGAATGCAAAAACACCCGCTTGACAGGGAATCATTTTTCTATAAGTGAATTTGAAACTACCACCTACATGGCCAAAGGGTTTACTTGTACTGACACGTTGTCAACGTGTGGCATTGGAAGTCCACTTTAAACGAAGTAACGAATCAGAACACTTCTTCCATCACTGTGGGTGTTTAAAGCCGTTTTTGTCGAATATCCTCAAAAGCAGCAGACGTGTATGAGCTTGAAAGTTCACGATGCAGACGCGTCACTGTGACGTCACGCTGACAAAGCGACGTGGCAGGCGGACGCTTTAGCGCGCACGCCCGTTGAGTCGAGTCGACCTCTTTCGCTCTCGCAGGCAGGAAGTCACCGCACTCAACGACGTTTGTCTCAATCGGTACCGGACAATATGGCTTCCAATAACGCGGGCGGCAAATGGGAGGTGGTGAAGAAAGGGAAGAAGAACAGCAGCGGCGGCGGCTCAGGAGGAGGCAAGAACACGTCGGATAAGAAGCCCGGCGGCGGGGGGAGGAAAGCGCTGGGCGAATCCAACCAGGGGTCCAGAGGTGAGTGAACATGGCCCCTTACAAACCACGGCCACTCATTTAAACCCGAACGTCCCGGACCGCCACTGCGACGGCGGTAACTTACTTTAAACAATGGAAGCCACTCTCCGTTCTTCTCGCGGTCTAGTCAGCTGTCAACTGATTTGACACGCTAGCATCTGTAGCGTAGCGTAGCGTAGCATAGCATAGCATAGCGTAGCAACGCTAACGTCAACGTAACGTCCCTTCGATGTTCCTACTGGCTGTCCCGTCGGGCGCTGTGCCATTTCTAGCGGATGACTCGCTTTTGGGGCTCTCTGCCGACACATTAAGTCGAGGATTAACGCTGAATGACCTTTTTCTAGACCGTAATCACAACTCGCTAGCTTGTGGTCACGTTAGCTTCCGGGCATCTTTTTTCCTCCGGCGTCGTGTCAACACGGGCAACGTCATCCCCGAGGAGCCGATGCTAGCAGCTGCTCGCTCTCTTTTTGCGTTTAGGTTTAAGAGCATTGCTGATGTTCTTGTTGAGCACAATACAAATATAATATCCATATCCGTTTTAAAGAACAATTAAGAGTGGACAATATACGAATGTATTGGAATATAACGTTAGGGAAATACTGCGCTGTAATCCAGAGAAAGGATCTAGTCTGGATTACCAACTTGTTAAAGTGCTTAATGTGTGTCGATCGGTTTGAGCCAATTTACCACTACACACAAAGGACATCAGCAGCTGATGATGTGTGTGAGGCTTACCTCGAAGACGTTTTGTGGATTATTGCCTGCTTTAGATGCCGGATTGCGTTTAATCAGTTTTGTGCTTACATGTTGTAAATCAATGTGTACATTTTGTGTTTGATCAATTATCTGACTGCAAACCTGGGGCCGGGTAGATAAACTTGACCCAGTGCTCAGAGGGTGGGAAGAATTTGTGTTTTAAGAAGGGCTGGTAAACACATGTTTGTCCCAGCTGGGTAATCTTTGAAAACAAAGCAGCAAAGTAGCCTTATTCATTTTTACATTTGCTGTCTGATGATTCCTGATTGAGCCTAAGATTATGATTACAAACATTTAATGGAACGTTTGTTTTTCAATATTCACCATAATCAACAACTCAACAGCAGCTTCAGATCTCACCATGCACTGCGTTTTGTTTATGCAGTGGTTTTATCAGCGAATCAGCAGTGCAAAGTCTGTCAGATCACAGTGACCGTGGGTCACTTCTCAGGCTATGTAAAAAGTTTTTCCCCAAAATAACTGCTACAATGTATTTTCACAAGAAAATGCATTCAAAGAAAGGTCTTATAAATATAACTGCTGGTTTTACTCGTCTTCCCTGTATACTGAATCGCAAGGAAAATAAAAAAATATCTGCTGATATCGGCGTAAAAGCTTTGTAAAACAGTCCCGTTGCTTCCAGCTACATTTTTATTTTTTGATGGTCTCTGTAGTTGATATTTCAATTGGCATTATATAAACCCCAGCATAATCTTTTACGACAAAATTGACTCGTGTCTAAATAAGGTCAGATAAGAGTTGGCTGTGAATGGATACACAAAGAAGGGAATGTGATTTAGATGGGCAACACACGCCTCGCTGTACTTTGTTGGCAGACTGAAAACGGTTTGCTGTCTGTTACGGATGGTCGCTGTCTGTGTGTCTGTCTGTCTGTCTGTCTGTCTGTCTGTATGGTGAACGGATAATCGGCAGGGAAGCTAAATGTTTAAAGGACAAAATGAATGTTCAACTTTTGGTTTGTACCACGTCCTGTCATCAAAGAGTGCTGATCCGTTCGTTGTGAACTTGTGTCAGAGCTCATGAGTTTAAAGCCGTCACCAGTTGAGTGGCCTCACTTGTTGGTGCCCTGTTACACTCATGTTAGGAGCTGCTGCTGGAAACTGCTGACTTTCTGACACCTGGATATTTGTTTTAGTATTTATAGACACAAACACCCCATCAGATCAACTAATTCCTCAGTGTTTTTCTAATTTTGTGACGCCGACACCTTCACAGAGAAGGAAACTAAATTCAGGGAGCTGAAGAAAAATCTGGATTGAGCAACGTTTGAATAGGGAACCGAATCCTTCGTGTGATGAAACGAGTCACTGCCTCATGTTGCAGATATAGATTGAGGCTGGTCTGCACATATGTGTATGGTCAGTGAACAGCTGGTGACCCCTGTCAACAAAGACTGACGCTTGTGGGCGGGTCGTACCGTATGCTTTAAATACGGGGAATACAGTTCTAAAGGTTCTGGGGACTACTGGATACTTAAACTGGATTATTTGGTATCAGGAAATGGGCAAGCTCAGTATACAACGTTTATTAACTCTCAAAACTAAAAGCTGTTTGTGCGTTAATATGTTTAAGTTTAATTGGTCACAACATTACAGATTGTGTCTCAGCACGCATCTCGGGATGATACTTGCAATGCTGTCGGTGCTTAACTCTCTTGGCTGTGTGGCGAGTGTTGCATTAAAGTTGTGTCTGATAATAACAGCCGATTATGCAAGTCATATTGGGAGGGAGGAAACGCTGAGGGGGGGAGGAGATTGCTGCGGTTTCATGGATTAGCTTTTGCAGAACACTCGCGTTGTTGGAGACCAAGGAGTTTGAAAAGAAAGATACTGTGTAGGCGCTGTTATCTGCACACGCGTGTTCTAACCCACCGCTGCCTTGTTTCTGTTCAGCACCCATCGTGATGTCCGCAACTCTGTACGACGGCTTTGAGAAGATGGCGAAGAAACAGAACAAGGAGCAGGTTCCACCGCCGGCCGAGTCCGAGAACAAGAAGCCCTCGACGAGTAAACCGCCGAAGAAGCCGCACTCCAGCAGCGCGGCCCCCTCCCCGGTTCACAAGACCCTTGAGGATGCCTTCAAAAGTGTGAGTGTTGCCTTTTTGTTTTTTTGATGCTGATGTTTGTTTATGAGAAAAAGCTTAAAGAGAAATGAATGCAAGAGGTTTTGAAAAACCTTGAATTGTTTTAAATCTAGTTATTCAAGCACAAAACAATGCTGCATTGTGGTGTCTTCCAAACAAAATATCACAAGTTGAAACCGCACTGTCCGCTCCACATAAAGGACGTGTTGTTTCTGAGCGTACGTCCTCCTTCTGTCTCGTTCTCCAGTTGGATGTCGGCGACCTGAAACAGCAGCTGGCTCGCAGTCAGACCCTGTTCCCAGAAAACCCATCGGTGTGGGTCAAAGACCTGGCGGGATACCTCAACCTCAATCTGACTGCGCCGGAGACGGAGCCCACACTCAGCAGCTACGCTCACGGTGGGTCCGAGTCGCACTTTGTTTTAATTTTATATCCCCAGAAATATGCACATTTAACATGGCACAAGGAGGGATTTTTGCGGACGTAATCTCTGGGATCAAACGTTTCTGCACGGCATGGATTTATTTTCATGTGCCTATTTTATTTCCGCCAGACTACCCATACTGCCTGTCAGGAAAGGAGCTGAAGGGAGTGATCAAAGGCCTCATCGGGCGCTGCAGTGATATTCTGCCAGACTTCTTCGACCACTGTGTTTATACAATGCTGCGGGAGATGGACAGGCAGACGGGTAAATATGGTGCACGGTATTTTAAGATGCTCCTCAAGCCGCGACCTTTTCGGTCTGAAGAAATGCAGATGAAATGTTTTTTTTATTTTATTTTTTTATTTGAAGGACAGACACTAAATCCCTCTTTCTCACCGTCCCCAGGAGAACCTCTGCATGGCTACAGAGTTTGCATCCAGGCAATCCTACAGGACAAACCCAGGATAGCCACCCAGAACCTGCCAGAAGTGAGTGTGTTGTCCTTGAGTCCTGCAGATCGTTGCCCTTGTATGCTCCAAACCTACCAGGGATTTGTCTTTTGCAGTAACCATTGTCTTAATACCCCTCCTTCTGTTTGTCTGCTCTAGTATTTGGAGTTGCTGCGATCAGTTCAGAATCGTCCTATGAAGTGTTTGACCATCATGTGGGCTCTTGGCCAAGCTGGATTTTATGACCTCAGCCAGGGACTGAGAGGTAGTCACATGACGCATTACTTTAAACATGTATACTGTTTCTTCTTTTTCTACCATCCTCTACACCGTATTAGCCCCACTCTGTCTCCCCTTTCTCCCCGTTTCCCAACAAAATGTGCTGACTGACACTGGTTCTGGGTCAGGGGACACTGAGGCAACCGTGCAAAGGGGAGCAGCAACACATTCCGTTCACTTCAATTTCGATTTTGATTTTGATTTGGCAAGAGCTTAACTTAATACTGCACAATTTGTAGTGCAATATCTAATCTAGAAGTGTGACAAACGGATAACTAGAAAATTGCAACAGTGAATGTCACAAGAGCCAAATGAAAACATTCTTAATTCTTGACAGACTCATAATAAAACCGTGAAGTATCTTTGTCGGTTGACTTGCTAACTATACCAGAATAAAAAACATGTTTTGCTTCTGCAGTTTCTCTGGGATTTTCTTTTGAAAGCTTAAAACAGTGACTGTTGAACTTAAAGCTCCTGTCATACGGATGACAACCTTTTATCTGTGTTTCAGTGTGGCTGGGTATCATGCTTCCTGTGCTGGGATTGAAGGCCTTGTCTTCATATGCCATCGCCTACCTGGAGAGACTTCTGCTGTAAGTGAGAAATATGCAACTGTAAAATACAAAGTTTGTGTGACATTAATGTTCACACACATTCATGTCATTGATGGTTGAAATGCCAAATAGTAGTTGAAAATCTTGTGTTAATGTTGCATGTAGTTAGAATGCATTATATATATATATATATATATATATATATATGAAGGATGCAGTGCTTTTTATTTTTCTTGTCCGACAAAATGAAACTACGCTTTGACTGTTCATGTTCTTCTTTTCTCAGACTTCATGCAAACCTGACAAAAGGATTTGGCATCATGGGCCCTAAAGAGTTCTTTCCTTTATTAGATTTTGCTTTCATGCCAAAGAACGCCCTGACATCAAGGTAAATGTAACCTCATGCGAACTCTGGGCTTTTCCTTGAGGTCCTCTGTGGATAATCCCAGTACACCGCATGAATACACAGTGGAGGAAGAAGTGGGTGTAGATTCGAGCTGGCTGGCTGTGAATAAGGTCTGCACCTTGTTGTGGAATATTTCAATAAAAGCTCGGTAGAAGAGAATGATTTGTCTGATAAAACTTGAGTCTTGATGAATGATCAAAGTTGCAAAAAGTCAATTTATTGCTTGCAAGCAGGAGGTCAAATACACGGGCACGTATCACGGTGCTCTGTGAAAATGGCGTCTCCGAGCAGTAAGTTTTTATACACATGTGAAGGACATTCTCCGTGCCAGTTACGAAAAGCTGCAAAGCAGGTTGAGATAAGAACCCAGGTGAAGCTGAGGGTAGCACACACACACACACACACACACACGATGGCCGGTGCAAATCATAATTAATTGACATAAAGTAAATCGTGGATCCGGAACTTTCGTACCGAATAAGATATGAACCAAGGCCATGAACAGAAGTCCTTTGTTTTGAAGCGTCTGTGAAATCGAGTCGACCCTCCTCCCTTCTCAGGACACAGCTGCAAACTAACATTTTATATCATGCTGCGCTTTGCACATCAGGGTCAAATACAGGACACTTGAGACACGGCTTTAGCACAAAACAATGTTATAATATATTTTACCATTACAACCTTTAACCCCAAACTACGCTTATGCAAACAATCGCAAGAGGTAACTTTAGGACAAGAGGGGTTCAGGAAGTGTCTGTGGTTGATTTGCATATGCACTGTAAAATCATTTATAAATATTATTGGGAATGCCACTTTTTTGCCAGTTTTGGGTTGTAGGACAAAATGTAAGAAACGGCACCTGTTAATTTGCCATTTCTAAGGGATACGAGAAATGAGGGATACAGCGGAAATCCTCATTCAGAAATAACTCAAAAAATACATTGCTGTCACTGTTCTCAGTAGTAAAAAAAACTTGCCTATACCTATTTGAACACACCAGCCTAGTGCTCTTGATTCCATATATGTGTTTTAAACTCTGCTTCATAGAAAGCAATGCAATAACAATACATACAAAACCGTTTTTGTTTGTGTTCAGTCTTCAGGAGCAGCTGAGGCGTCTGTATCCTCGACTGAAGGCCCTGGCATTCGGAGCCAAACCCGAGAGCACGTTACACACATACCTGCCATCGTTTCTGTCCAGAGCCACGCCACACTGTCCAGATGAAATGAAGAGAGAGGTGGGACACACACACACAGAGTTTAAACCGGTCTAATGGTAGTTTAGCAGTGCAGCAGCATTACTCATTTTGATAAGTGACCCCTCGTACAGGTTTGTTGTTAATTGTTATTTGTAAACAATCAATATGGCAAAGAAAACGAACTAAGCTTAACAGGCCAAATAATGTCGCTGACAAACGAATGGCTTCTTAAATCAGATTTAGTTTAAAAAACATTGGAGGAAAAACCCAACTAAAATGTTTTAGTGTGGCTCATGAATTGAAAAGCAGTCTTCTTTAGTTGCCATTTTGCACTAATGTTTCATAATCAATGTCTAATTTACCATTGTCTTAGGCAAAATGAGTATTTTTTTCAATTCAGCCAAAAGATGTATGCATGACAGGGATGTTGTCTTAAGCTGCTTTTGCTATGTTGAATCACACTCTTTCTCTCCTTGCATTTCTGCAGCTGCTCAGCAGTATGACGGAGTGTCTGTGTGTGGATGTCCAGAGTCTGGGAGTGTGGAGGCAGCTCTACACCAAACACTTACCCCAGTCCAGGTGCGTTTGGTGCCTTTTCTGTCAAGAACGAAACAGCGATGCTCTGTGACAAACGCATATGTCCAACAAGGGAAAATGCAACAGTAAAGAAAGCTGATATATTTTTATATACCGAGAGATGGAGCTAATTGTTCCTCACTGCTTTCTTCTCCAGTCTGCTGTTGAACCATTTATTGAAGTCGTGGAAGAGTCTCCCACCCAAGGTACGACGGCGTGGAGCTCTGGTGGTTCTGGTTCCTCAACCCGACTCGGCTCCACACAGTATATGAGTGCATGTTTACACAGAGAGGCCGACAGATTTATTAAGAAATAGATCCCTTTTTATTAAAGCCTCACATTCTAAGTGCCGTGCTTTATGTTCCTTCTGAAGCTGCGGAAAAACCTTGAAGAAACTGTCCAGTCTTTCAAAGTGACTAACGATGAGATGAAAGACGCTGTGGAATCTCCGGAGCTTCAGGAATGCAACAGCCTGTGTCAGGTGAGACCCATGGCCACCGCGTACCGCCAACGTACTGAATCATTTGGGTTGTCCAACACAAAGGTCCATGTTTTTGTTTCGCTCACTAGTTCCTCTTCCGTTCCCAGAATCTGCAGGTAAAGATGCGAGGTCGCGGGTTCCCGTGGTCCAAACTGCTCATGGTTCTGCTGGTGTTTGTTGCCGGCTTCATTGCTCATGACGTCAGATCTCACGGCTCCTTCGCAGGTGCGTCAGAGTCCTGTGTACTTAAAAAGAAGAGACCGTTTTTCATTGGCTTCTTTTTATTTGTTTTTGAGATTTTTTTTTTTTACAAAGTGCGCTGTGTGTGTGACAGATTCCACCACGGCCCTTCATCTGCGCAGCTCTGGGGTCACAGACGTTTCTCAGCAGGCCTGGAGCAAAGTAAAGCTGTACTCCACACAGGGCTTCAGGTACGTCCTCAACGACCGCTCTGTGGGGTTTTCTAGACACACGTTCTGACCAGAGGCCCAACGGAAGCTTTATCTCAAGCACGTTTCAGGTTCTCTTCATGTCAGAGCAGTCGGCTCCGGGGGCATGTATAGAACCCTCAGTAACCACTTTGTTAGGTACAACTGTATACTCCACTGTAATCCAATTCGACTGCTGTGCCATAAGTTCTGCTTTCATGCTCTGTTGTTTTTTTTTTGGCTTTAATTCATGTAATTGTGTCTTAAGCAGTAGTCAAAGTGTCAAAGGGGACAAGCGCATGTAATGCTGAGGGAATCTAGTCTCTTGACGTATGGTGAATAATTCTACTTTTCAGCTTTTTCTTGTGTTTTTGTACCCGTTTAGCTGGTTGGAGACCAACACGCCTCATTATTACTCAGAGTGTGCACGGGTTTTGGGTCCCCTACTGGAACAAGGTTTGGAAAAGAGTAAAACAGCAGCCATCTTCATCTCTGAAAACACCACGCAGTTTATTCTCTGGGTTAAAGAAAAGACGCCGCAGGCCATAGAATGGGTACGGCTCATTTCCAGTTTTGAACACAAACATTGAATGTGTTTCACCCACAAATCAAAGTTGATAAATTTAAAGCATAACATGTGATGGACTTGTGCATTAACTCTGTGTATTTTTTTCCCAGGTGAACACCAACACTCCCGACAGTGTATTCCAGGTGTTGGCGTATTTGAAGGAGCTGCTCCTCTCTCTCCACCACAACTACATCTTGCCAGCGCTGGCGTATTTATCTGAACTGCTTCAACGAGCGTGGGCCAACTTACAGGAGTCCTGCAAGTCAGTGCATGGATGAGTCTTTTTTCACCTTTTCTATCCCCCCTTTTCTAAACGTGAGCTACGTTGAACCGCGTTTTCACACCGTTTTTATGTGGATGTCAAGTCCGTGTCGATGGTGGACTCATTATGCTGCAGCAGTAGACGCCTCATCGCGTGCTGTGTTGACCGTGAAAGCTGATTTCTTCCTGCTCGCTAAGCCGTGCGGGCATCGCTTAGTGTGCAAACTATGCTACAACGCTACTGTTGTACATTGACGTACTGTCACGACCGCTACACTTAAACGCTCCGATCGCTCGCTCTCGAAAGCCGTATTTATTCATTTTTTGTATTTTGTTTATATCTATATATTCATCTGCACTCCCAACTGCATGCAATAGTCCGGAGTCTTTTCGTCATTGACCTGTTGAGCCCATATCAATTTGATTGGATTTAAAACATTTTTTTTTTATATATTGACAATCATTAAAATGCCTCATCACGGTACAGTCACGTGATTTAATTCACAGCACAATAAACACGGTGCCATGTGTGCAGATCTTGGTGGTACTATCAAATATCCAAATGAACTGCATGAACCTGTTTATTTATTTACTAGCCGAGACATTTCTTAAGTTTTGATGAAGCAACCAATTTCAGTACATCCCTGAAGAAAGACTCATTCACTTTTTTTTTTTTTTTTAATTTTTTTTTTTTTAAACCATTCAAGTTTATGAACTAATTCTCAAAATTGTTTCTTCTTCTGTCCTCGCCTGCAGTGGTGAGGTGTCTGTATCGTGTCTGCAAGGCCACGCTTTGTCCTTCACCAACACAACGTGGCAGCTGCTCCAACACACGACGACGGCCATTAAGACGTGGGCTCAGGATCTGCTCACACAGGCGTGATGACGTCACAGATTAATTAACACACGCAATAAACACACAGTTATGTGAATCTGCACGCAGACGCACACACACACTGACCTTGTCGGAGGCTGCCTTTTAGTGAGCTGACTCTTAAGCCATGATTGGAGACTGTTGGTGCAGACCAAGAAACTCTCCCTCACTCTTATTTGGGTTACATTTTTAAAATCAGTTTAGTATTGTAAAAGGTTATTTTTAATTTTCTTTTTTCTAACAATCTTTTTGCCATTGCTGGTCGCAGAAGTTCTGTCTTTATCTCTTTCTGAGTTTTCTACTGCAAATTCCAGCTGTTGCTTTAACCCTTGGGTTAAACAGATGTGCGTAATTTATAGAAAATGTAGGTTTGTAGATGATTTATAAACCATTTTTATTTAAAACATATATAAACATAAAAAGTATTATGTGAAAACTTAGTGAAGGGCCAAAGACCAAAAGCTATTCCAAACTTTTCCAAGCCAGTGACGACCTTGTCCGAGGGCCCCTTTTGTTTCTCACACGCGGTCCAGCTCACCTTGAAGTGCGATCAGATGCAGAATGTTTGTGTGTCTCAGTGAAACCTTCGTCAATCCGGAGAATCTTTGCAGTGGGCAGCTCACAATTCAACAGGAAACATATTGTGAGTAAAGGAGTCACAACTGCTGGTGGCTTGACTCCATTAGAAAGTTTAGGGTTGACCACATGACCCAAAAGTAAGCTGGCATCTGTTCGAAAAGATCCAGAAGAAGAAGAAATCTGCCTGCTGCCTTGTCTCTGTGTCCTGTACACCTTCTCCTCTCGTCTTTGCTGCTCTGTCTGCTGTTTCTTCGGGGTTTTCATTTGCCTTCAATAGCTTAACTCTTAAGCTCAAAAAGGCAATTGTGTTCTCATACTTGAAGGCTGATGATATTCTGTTTTTGGATAAATACTGGGATGATTATTAGCTGGTCTCAACATCTTCCTGTACCCCAGAGAATGAAGAATAGACCCTCGTCTGGGGAAGGTAAACATTTCCGACCAGCTCATTCACCATCCCTATTTATACACCGGATATATTGATGGATATGGAAATGACTAAGGTCTGTCTTTGTAATGTAAATGATTTCTAATAAAGACTTCAACCACATTCGTGGGTACGCTGTTTTTTTTCTTATCTACAGATAGGGTCCGTTGAAAGTAAAATAATTATTTGCTTTTAGTCTTGACAACAAATGTGTCAGTAACGCAGAACCGCGAGATCTGCCCCGAAGCTTTTCTTCTGGCTGCACATTTACTACAACAAAACAGTCCAACGTGACCCCCGTGTCACAAATACTATTTCTCCTAAAGCAAATAGTATAGTAGAGTGTATATATTACACTTTTGCCATTTTTAACATATAGTGGGGGATTAGCTCAGATGGTAGAGCGCTCGCTTAGCATGCGAGAGGTAGCGGGATCGATGCCCGCATCCTCCAGCTGTTTTCTTTTAGGAGTTCGAGACTTCATGACGAATTTAAGTTCTAAGTTACAGTTTCACTTTATCGCGCCTGTTACCCGACAAGGTTTTTTCAGATCCGTAATATAAGATAGACAATTAAAAACGTACGCCTACTTATGTATATTTGGCAATTACATTTGTAGGTGCCCTTTGGGATTGTTGATTTATTTATTGTCATGAAACAGTCACCTGGGTAGTATGATTCAGCTTTTAAACATTGGAGAGCGAGGAAATGGAAATAAATTACCTGAAAGAATGATTCAATTTAAAGTTAAACAAATTACATTGTGAAACGATTAAGCATTGTTCCGAATACAACTAGTTTGCAGTCCAACAGCATTAAAGGAGCACAGTTCCTCATTTAGCAGACAGCGGGTCCTCCACAAAGACAACGGTCAAACAACGACGCCTTAGAATGGACAGTAACCACATCAGCATTGCACACCTTTAGATCCTCAGTCTGTGGTGGATGTGTTGATGCTGCCACCTACAGGAGAGGAAGAATAATGCCGCAAGTTTGTGTCAAAATTGTATAATGTGTATTTCCCTGCATGCAGACAGCTGCAATTACATCTTATCCAGTATTGAACATTTTTATGTAAAAGATAAAACAGCTTTCGCTCACGGTACATTTACAGATTTAATTAGCTTTTTGTGAAAAGCTAAAGAACTGTTTAATGAACTTTGAACTACACTGTCACTATCACAGTGGTCCTGAGGTATGAAAAATGATATATAATTCGACCACTTTGATTCATTTTTTCTTTCTGGTTACAAACTTGACTGATTCCACCTTTGCCAATATTTTTGGGTTAAAACAGGTATGACAGAATAAGCATACGACTTACGAAAATTAGGCTGCGACTGGTGCTGTTCAAAAGAATATGTCAATAAGTAACAGTTTAATACATTGAACTGAATCGAATAAAATCTGATATGCAGCAAAATGAACACATACAGAAAGTCAACAACGGGATTGTAGGGTCGTAAAAATACCCATACATATTTTTTTTTATCATAAATCAACATCAGTGAAAACACAGCTCTACTATTTGAGTGCCACCCCCCCTAAAATGATGCTCAGCCCTCCGGTCTTCCTGCGGTTCTTCTCCACTGAGGAAGAGGCCATGAAGCTTGGTTCAAGGAGTGTCTTAACCAATCAGCATGTGGAATAAATCCATGGCGCTGTCCCTCATTGACTCTGGTTCTGCTCCACGTGTCTTTTTCTTAGTTTTAATTTCAATGTCAGTGCAGAGTTACAGCAAGCTAAAGCATCCTGATGGCGGGTCGGAGTGATGGCGCCGGTTCTGTCTGCTTAGCGTTCACCTCTTACATGAAGTCGTCTGAATCGTTACCGTCCTGCAAACAGAGGGAAGAGAGGCCAATGTGGTGGGACAAAATTTGGCTGGTATCAAATACTTCCTCTGCTTGATGAAGCGGAGTGAAGTGTCTGAAATAATCTCACAACTCTTTCAATTAAAGCTCGTCCCTGACCTCGACCTATTGTTACTGTTCTGCCTCATTTGGACTGTTACTAAGTAAGTAGTTATTTGTGAGTATCCCTGATATTCCAAATCATTTCACACATCATGTAGCAGAAGCCCTGACCTTTCCTTTCGGTCTTTTTCTAGATAAAAAATAGTTTCATAGATTTGTCCTCACCTCATTGGTCGTCATATTTTCACTCTTCATCAGTGAAGAGTAGCTCCTGGAGAGAGAAACACATAAATAAGAATTTAACAAATTGCATGAGTTGACCATTACTGTAAATACTTCACTACTCTACAATACAAAGGGAGTTTGTCTTTTATTAAATATAACTTTAATAGAGCAAATGTCATAGGAAAAAGAACATGGAAATTACTTGAGTTCCTCCATCTCTTTTTTCCTCTTCTGTTCCTCCTTCTCTTGCTTCTTCAGGTCTAGAAGCTGAGCTTTCTTCTCGTTCCTCTCCTCTTGGTCCCTCGACTCTTTCTCGGCTGCCAGGTCAGGGAAGCGTTCATCTTTGGTTTTCTCCAGGCGGTTTACGATCTCATTGACCTTCTTCTCCACTGCCACAATCTTCACCTGGGAAACAGAGTGACACACTGCCAAGTCAGTGGTGATGACACACACATGATGTAGAATACACAAAGAAAAAACACATGTCATGCAGCTTTATCAGCATCTTCTATCACAGGGAACAGCTCTACTGACCTCTTTCTGTCGAAAGAAGCCGATCTGTCCAACGTCCATGTCTCCCGTTTTTTTCAGGTTGGCCCAAGGTGTGTAAACCACTTTGATGTTGTTCATCTTACAGCCTGACAGCACACAACACAGTATAATTTAACACGCACAGAAATCAAAAAACAAAACAGGCTTTGACAGACAGATTTTTTTTTAATTGTAGTTGTCAACGTACAGATTTAAGGAAGAACAGTTTTGTTTAATACAATATATTAAAGGTTCTCTTTCTGAAACCCATTGGTAGGTGATACCCGATTAGGGCTCCAACAACAAATTCGATTCTTAAAAGCATTGGCAATGGATTTTATTATTGATTTGTTGTGTAATCATTATTAAAAGAGGAAATCAAAATCACTGCTTTTGTGACGTCCCTGCAGATGAAAGTACGATGTTCCACATTTCACTGCTTCAATTGATTAAATGTCTGATTATGAACAATGGATATATACCGATTCTCCCATACACATTCACACACATAATAAAATTAAAATAATAATACGTTCAATTAATTCGACATAAATGATTCAAATTCACATAACATCTCCCTATTCATCTTCCCCGTTCATGATCATTTCCTGCTCGTCAGCGGAGAAAAAAAGACGCTCTTCCTTTAAGTTTGTTTGCCGTTATACTGTTAAAAATTCTTTTTCCGGTGATCGACTCTTCCACCTTCTAATGTAGGATGTCTGGATAATGGGACATTTGATCGACTTAGTTGAACCACGTACGAGGAACAGGGCCCTGATCTTGAAAAACCTTGTATTTACCAACTGTAAAGACTTCATTTATGACAAATAACCAATTGGTTTTCCTCTGTGTTGATGGATTGTGGTGAAAGTTCTGACGTTAAAACAAATCCTGTTACATTTTCTGATTTGTATTTTTCTTATAACTGTTTATGTTCAAGGAGCAACCTGTACTTTCAGAAGTATTTTTGCAATGTGAATAGAATAAAGGGTTGGAAATTAAAGCTTTTTAATGCAGTCTTTTTATCCGATTCATCAAAGAAATAATCGTCCGTTTAATCGATTATCAAAATAATCGTTAGTTGCAGTCCTATACCTGATGCCAATCATTAATTATTATCATCACAAGACACAACATTAGCAGGAGGCAGATATTTACCTTGGATGCTGTTGTTTTTCACCAGCTGTGCACAATCTACCAGCACCTCGGGGGGAATATCATCTATGGTCCGACCCTAGAAAACACGCAGAGCAATCAGCCTTTGTGCGCTAACTGCATTCATTTTCTTTACTCAACATTCAGGTTCAGCGTTGACTCTTTACCTTTGGCAGTCTCAGATAAACGTGAGCTGAAGACAGTTTGTCCACATGAAACCTGGATGAGGAGATTCACTTGTTTTATTAATATTGATATTAATCATAATTTTACTTACAAACTATTTAATGCAATAAACCATCTGTTGAGCAATGGCACTTCAGTCTCACCAGATGTCTTCAGGCCATCCGTACTTTATCAAATCCTCATCTGCAAAAATAATCTCACATTACCGGTGATGTGGCTCTATTTATAGCGCATTCCACATATAATTTTTAATAATAATCAGAAAGCACAGACAAAGCATCAAGTGTGTAAAAAGATGGTGCGACGTTAAGTGTGTATGTGCGTTCTTAGTTAACGTTAATGACAAACTTACTTTCATATTTGTCTTTTCCCATGTAGATTGTGTGGTGGGGGTTCACCACTGAGTGGAAACAACACACCGTTTGACGTTAGTTACTGGATGAAGCAGCAATACAAACTGGCACGAAATACATACAAATATAGAGCCAGATTAAATGGGAAATACTAAAAAGTATTGGTTTAGCAGGCTAGAAGCTAGCTTATGCTGCTGCTAACTATGCGGTATCTTAACGTTACTCACCGGCACTCGTGAAGTAAAAGACCATTTTAGGTGAATTAAAGTCGCCACTAAAATATAAATATTAAGTGTATATAGTTTGAGAGCTAATGCGGCAAATTATAAACACAAGAAACAAATGTTTGGCTGCGTTCCGCTTATTCGTTGGTGTTGTCACTTTTCACGTGAATAAGTTGACCTGGGAAGTTGTTAGCTACTGTGCTAAGCGACGGCCGTTAGCCGTCACCAGCTAGGAAGTACTCACGTTTTACAAAACAAAAGCTTGATATTCCAAACATCTTTTCCCTTAACGTTTATTTGAAAGGGAATTGCTCGAAACAATTCTTTCACAAATGAAGTGTTGTAACTAAACTATGTATATGAATACCATTCACTGCACATGCATTACTGTTACATGCGTGATAGTCATTTAATGAACGAGTATCTTTTATTTTTATGTAAAGAACCAGAAGTCTATTTGTTCTTTTATTTCCGCAACTTGACTAAGAAAGTATTTGACGTATTTCCGTTTCCTCTCTGTTTTTTTAATAGACTGGCGCGCGCTGTTCAAAACAGTGAAAGAAACGCGGGCAGAAAGCACAGCGACACACGTTATTGCGACATTTATTGTTTTTTTCTAGCACGACAGAAACGTGTTTGGTAAGATATCTTTATGATGATAATGTTTCATGGTTGGGTTTTTTGTCTGATGCCTTTGATTGCTTCCCTCTGAAAGTAACGTTACGTAAAGTGAACCGTATGCTAACAACTGTTTTAAGATAGCCACCTGTATTCGTAATGTTAAACCAGGAGTAATGCTATCTGTTGACTTTAAAACAGATGGAAACGCGGGAACAAACATGTGATTGATATCGACACGTTTTCTAACGTTAGTTTAAATTGAGGCACTCATCTTTTGTTTAAGCTCATTATCCCGCCAAGTATCTAACTCGTTGCCACTTTAGCTGTTAAATAAGCGCCTTATTTACTGGCGTAGCGCTAACTTTCATGTCGCCACAAGCTAACTTCCCGCACGACCAGATTGAAAAAAATTGAGACGTGTTAATGTTTTTTGTGCGTGTTTGCGTGTCCGTGTAGGGAGGAAGATGATACCCACTGCTACCAGGAAGAGGAAGCTCTCCCCGCTGGATTCTGACAGGTGAGTTGAGAACACACTGGATTCACTATATACTCATAAAATGTAATCGTACTGATACTTTCATATGTAACAACAATATGGGCCAGGTCCCATTTGAATAATACCTTTATTTTGATCCAATGGTTCTCAATTTATTTAATGTGTTCGATTAATGTGTTTCTACAGCTGTGTGGCCTCTTTAAAAAAAAAAAAAAAGAGAGACCACTTTGTTACACGGACCCAAACTGATGTAATATCACTATATAGGATTCTCCAACTATTCTCAACCCAATAACCAGTTTACAGTTGTAGTTGTAGTTATGCTAAATATGATGTATTATATATCCTCCTGCACAATACCTTTTCTATCAGGTTATTTTCCTACATTAATATTTGTATTAAAGCATTTTTGTGTTTTCTATCAATGCATTCGGATCTCCATATAGATGTATGCATGCTGTGTTTTTTTTGGTTTCAAAATTTTACGAATATTTCATTTTTCAGTCTTTTTAAGAGAAATAATCTAAAGTGTTGAATCTGTGGATCTTTGTCATTTCTAATTTTAACTGATTTTTGCTTATTGTAACTCCAGCCACCCAGCCAAGAACAGGGTGAGGGAGAAGTTGTCCCCCTTGAAGAGGACCTCCCCCAGGAGGCGCCCACAGTCTCCGACTAAGAAAAAACCAGTTGGGCAGCCAAACAAGAGGAACTCTACCTCGCCGCAGAAATACCCCCGAAAAGCAGCCGGTGAGGTGGACTAGTGAGAGGGATGGTTTATGCATTTTGGGTCAGCAGATGTGCCTCTTTAAGTCTAAAGTCATTTGCTGCAAAATTGCTCTTCCTCGTCCACCTTTTCCACACACGTTTCTCTCAAACACCTTTAATCTTTCCCTGTTGTTTCACTGTTTTTACTAGGCTCTCCAGCCAAATTACCTCAGAAGTCTCCCTTCAAACCTTCAATGGTTACAACTTCCTTCTATGGCCTGAAGAAACCAGTCTATCTCACTCCACTCGAGAGGAAGGCACTCAAGGACTCGTTGCCTCCTCCTCCACCTCCTCCTCCTGTTGTTCTGCCTTCACCTCCTTCCCAGAAGAAAAAGACTCATAAGAAGAGTGTTAAAGGAGGCAGCAAGCGGAGAAAGGTGTCTGCAGTATCTAGTAATGTGTGGAAGACTGCTCTCACAAGCAATGCGACCCCAAAGACGATCAAACTGTCCAAACCCAACAGCAGGTTTGTTACCACATGAGTCACAGTCCCCTTGTAGCTGCCTTGTTAGTGCTACTGCATTCTTTTAACACATTTTATAGTTTATTGCACCTTGTAGATGTTTACTATTTCCAGCGTAGGTATTATTTTTTGTTTTTGCAATTATCGCGTCATCTATTTCAACAGTGTTGCCGCTACGCCAGCGTCCAGTACAATCGCTGCTTCGGCCATCGGCAGTAAACCAGCAGAGTCCAGGAAAGCAGCCATCCATACCGTCGGCAGCCTGAAGCCCAAACCCAAGATCTTTGTAGGAGCTGCTTTCTTCAGTACTGGCAAGAAACTAACATCTATGTACAAGAAATCTGCACCGAAATCTTCAACCAGCAAAGCTTCAGTCCCGAAAAGCAAACCTGTCCAACTGCAGACACAAAGTGAGAATTTGAGGCCCGCGGCTCCACCGACGACCCAACAGCCGAAACCCTCTAATGAGGTGAGGAGAGTCACACCATGAGGGCTGAGCTCAATGCTTCACTCCAGCATGTGAGGCAAAAAAAAAGGTCAAATTGATATTCTGCTTTTAGACGGATGTTCCGCCGGTCGAGACAGAAGAGAACTTGCAAAGTACCAAGCGGAGAGAAAAGTTTGATCTGTTGGACTGGATGGATCCAATTGACGAACTGCCTGTAACTCCACAAACATTCAGGTGCTGCCCCCCAAATTTAACAACAACAACAACAACAATAATAATACTTTTGTTTTTCATAGCGCTTTTCTGGGTACCCAGAGACTCTTTACAATGTTACAAAGTACATGCAAATGGTGTCTAATCTTAAATTTAATTGTGCAACTGTACAAGGAAAATAATGGTTTCCCATCACCAATAACCGTCATCTTTCCCCTGCAGTTCTCTGAAAAGGTTGCCAGAGAAATATGGAATTACCAAGGAACTGACGATTGTGTTGGCAAGGACGCCAACAGCAAGTCCCTCATCCACGGCTGTGTCCCTCAGTACCGAGGTACAGCGGCCGTATGCACACGTGTTCATAGACGGTCGTAGAACATTTCCTTTTTTTTTATTGTTACCTGAAATCTTTCTCCAGACAGCGGTAGACTGAACTTTGCATGATTGGACCCTAGCTTAATAGTTATTATTATCCGATAATGCACAACGTGCATATGACACCATGACAAATCTTAAACCTTTTAAAAAGCATTCTGACATGTATATTGTAACATATTAATAGGAATATATAATAAGATCTGGTACATCTCTTACTGTAAGAGATCTACCAGATCTTCTGGCACCGTATGGTAATGCGGGTTTCTGAGCTCACCGCATATTTTACTTTGATTGCACTGAAAACACTTTGCGTGTGGATCACATCTGAGTTTTTGCTGCATTCATAATATTGAACTCTACTTCCAGTGTGGCGGCTCTGGAATGGCGTTTGATCCGAGTAAGCAAAATCCCAACGTTTTGGCTGCCAGCCCACCCAAAGGTACATACACCCCCCCATGTTGTTGTAAGCGTGACCTGAGAAGCTTTAGACCGTCCACTCACTTTGTTTTCATGTTTCAAATGAGCATTTCAGTTCCAAACATCACTTTTCTTTCCCCTTTTATTTGTTATTTCCTCCACAGAGACGGGAGGGATGTATCCCATCTTCGGCTCTGCCTCAAAGAGGTGAGGTGGTCTGTTTAGTCGTCAGTCGTCAACACGCCACAGAGAGAGATTTATTGTACAAAACAAACGAGTTTTGAGGTTCTGGCAAAATACCTTTTTACTTTCTTCAAGAAAGGCAAAAACCGGGAGCTGGGAGGCAAGCGCAAGGAGACATTACAAAATTGGGCATTTTGCCCGGGTCCCTGATAAGTAAAAATACTGTAAATGGACTTTAAATAGACACTGATCTTAGGTTTCCTTCTGTCACTTTGATGGACTTAACGGCCTTTTTCGAAAGCCATGTTTTTGTGTGACACGCGTGCGTTCTCTTATCTGCTGTCTTGCAGGTTAAGAAATGCAGCGCTGCGTCCGCCGGCGTCCTGCAGCAGCCCCCCCGGCCCGATAACGCCCCTACAGACAACGTCTTCACTCAAAGAACGACCCGTCCGCAGGAGGAAAGAGAAAGCGGATGATGACCAGCTTATTATCGTACGTTCGTCTTTTATATTCTTATTTGCGCGTGTGCACATTTCTCTTCTGTTACTGGACCTTTTGTCTTGCTGTGTGTGTGTTGACTGCTTCTTTTTCGGTGTCGTCCCGATCAGGATGCAGGACAAAAGCAGTTTGGCGCGACGACCTGCAGCTCATGTGGGATGGTTTACAGCGCGGACAACCCAGAAGACCATTTCCAGCACACGCAGTTCCACCAGCGCTTCCTCGACTCCATCAAATTTGTGGTAAAGCGTCTTTCCTTCAACTTCCTTTGAACGGAACTATCTAGTGAGACAAGGCCATGTTGAAGTCGATAGGGGATCAATTTATGAAATCCGACAAAGCACATTATACTGATATTCGATATCAATCTTTTATAAAAAAAATTAATCTGTTGTGTATGTATTTCTTTGTTGTATTACAACACCTTGTGTTGCCTTAAACAAACACTAGTATTAAACACTAGTATAGATTTATTGGGAGTGAAAAGGTCAATTGTTTCTGTCTTGCCTGTTTAGAATGTAACCAATTCTTTACATGCCAATAAGTTTTTGTTAGTGCTGGGCAACAGTCAAAATTTGTAGTAGCAAATTTCAATGATTAATTCAAAAGTAGTACTTTTATTCATGCAAACGCTTAAAGTGCTTTTTAGCAGCACTATAACCCAGCTGCCCCATGTCCCATGTCAGTGTCCCTGAGCAAGACACCTAACCCCGTAATTGCTCCCCGGGAAAAAATGTAAAAAGCCATGGGTCAAAAATGTAAGTCGCTTTGGATAAAGCGTCCGCTAAATGACCTGTAATGTAAAAGCTTTATTTAATAGTTTATAAAGAGTTACAAGTAAGTGCAGTTTGTTTTCATGTGTTGATAAAATGGTCACAAATAACTCCGTCGGAAGAGCTTTAAACAAAATTGTCCACTTACGGTATCTTTCCTTGTTGCAACCTAAATGATAAAGTGACTTTGTATTGTTCAGCTCGTGTTACAGGGTTTGTTGGGTTTGTTTAGAGCTATTTGCTCGTAGCTGCAGTATCTTCCCTCTGGTGTGTTTCCAGGGCTGGAAGAAGGAGCGGGTGGTGGCCGAGTTCTGGGATGGAAAAATCCTCCTCGTCATGCCAGACGATCCCAAATACGCCATTAAAAAGGTGTGTAAAGCTTTGCACTTTAGCCGGTTTCACACAGTGGGAATTTTTTTTTTTTAAACTCGTGCCTCCTTCCTCACAACGTGTACTTGTCTCCAGGCTGAGGACGTGCGCCGCGTAGCGGATAGCGAGTTGGGTTTCCAGCAGGTGACCCTGAGCAGACCCACGCAGGCCAAAACGTACCTGTTCATCAACACGGAGCGCATGGTGGTGGGCTGCCTGGTCGCTGAATCCATCCGCCAGGTATGGCTGTGGGAGTTTCCACATCCAGTCCCGTTCAATGTCACATTGGTCCCCAACATTTTCTTTGTCCACCAGAGTCCCAAAAAAAGTGATCGTTATTCACATGGATGACAAACCACTATGTTTATTTGAGTATTTTACCCCTGCCACTACCAATTTGTTTCTGTGAACAGGCCGAAAGACAAACACAACTACTCATGTAAAGGCTGTTTTTATGCCCTTCCTTGCATTACTGTTGCAAAGAAAAAGCAGGGAGTGTTAAATCATTTGCTTATAAACTAGTGATGGGAAGTTCGAATCTTTTTACCAACTCGGTTCTTTGAATCTCGTTCAGTAAAATGAACGAATCTTTCTTCGACTCATTTGTTGACGGGGGGTGTAAGATATTACCGACCGTTCAGTAAAATGAACAAATCTTTTTTTTTGAGAGGACTCGTTACTCTCGAGTCCTTGTAAGGATTCGAAGGAATCCTTACAAGGACTCAAAAAGAAGGATCAAAATGAATGAATCGTTCACGAACGACGCATCACTATTATAAACTAATAACACATCAATTAAATACCTTTTGAATCAACTAACGTAAGAGTTTTTTGATATTTCAACCTTTTTTTGTAGTCCCCTTTTCAATCCTATTTATAGTGCAGACGGAAACAAACTCTCTCTGAATCGTCCACTTGGTGCTGCTTGTCTCGTCCCCCACAGGCTCACCGGGTCCTCGAGCAGCCAAACCAACCAAAGGACATGACAAAGGACGACTTCATGGAGCGACACCGCGCCTGGTGCTGCGACACCACGCCGGAACAAGCTCTGTGTGGGATCAGTCGCATCTGGGTCTTCAGCCTGGCCAGGCGGCAGGGCGTCGCCACGCGCATGCTGGACACCGTCAGGTACGACGTCCCGCTCAAGAAAGAACTTTCTTGTTCGTTGCTCGTTTCTCAGTCGAGTTCTTTAGTTTATACATCAATAATCTCCCTTAAGTTGAAGCTGTCAAACCAACACGTACAAGAAACAACCTCCTGATAGGAGGGGAAAGGGTTACTTAAACCTTGTGGTGTGATAGTGGATCAAAATGCCTCCTCCCCTACAGGACTTTGTATAGTTGCTCAGTAACTTCTATTCGATACGATACTCACAACATTCCATTTTGCCAATCAGCCTTTTCTGTAAAAGCCACCAATCAGTGGAACTGCCTGACGTGGTGAAGACGTGGAAAATGCGTCCGGCTTAAAAACACTGTCAGATGCTTTACTGAGGAATTACAAACACCTGGAAAAAAGACTTGAACGGATCTAAAATCTTGTAGATTCAGCGCCAATAAAATGTTTCCCATTAACAATACATTTTTTTTTTAGGAGCACCTTCATGTACGGCAGCCATCTCACCAAAGAGGAAATCGCTTTCTCTGACCCGACGCCTGATGGCAAATTGTTTGCCACAAAGTACACCAACACACCGACCTTCCTCGTTTACAACTTTGTGGCATGAAGCGACGCTGCTGTTACTGTTTTAACGGACTTGTTCAATTGTTTTTCAGCTGCAAGACTGTTCAGGTTTTTTTTTTTAAATGTTGATTCTTCTATCATAGTATTGGTGTCCAAGCTTCTGTCAGAGTTCTACTACGTTCTGTGTTCACGAGACACCTGTTTTCCCACTATGTAGTTGACTGGTTTATTTGCACTGTTCTCTTCTCAGGTGTTTATGTTCAGCTTGATGAACTTGAAGCTGCAGTGTGTGAAAATATGTCCCCGTTTTTTAAAGATGCCACAAACGTCCTTTTTGCTACACATGCATTCAAATGTTCATTGTGGTTTGATTCTAGACAGGAAAATCATAAATCTTATGAAAGAGGGATGCCGTTCTACTTTGTAAATACACTTAATAAACAGCTCGTTTCATGAATCAAAAGATGTTTCTTGAAAATATTTCAGACGCCACGCCAACAGTTTCTGCAAAATGGAAATCAAAGTAGTTCAACATTGTGGTAGCTTTGCTTGTGTCCCCTTCTTGCCAAGAGTTACGACCTCATCTGTAACTATGAAAATGGGGTGAGCAGAACAGCTGGCTGACACGGGTCGCAGCCCAGCTCGCTGCTTTCCATCTTGCAGTCACATCTCTGGCCAACAAATGAGATCCAGTTTGTCTTGATTTTCTTATTTATGATCAATTGGTACACATGAAGGATTTCCATTCAACTGCCTGTAAACCACAGCTGCAGCACAATCTACAATTCTACCATCGACACGTGCAACTAGGGTGCGAAATGTAGAGCTTTTATTAAGAAATGTCGACGCTTACAGAAGTGCAGAAACATACATAAAAGACACCTAAACAGGAAAGAAAGTAAAAGCATACATGACAAAAGACAAGTAATGTGCTATTCAGAGTCAGATTTACAGTAAAGATGGACGTGACCTTCAGCCTACGTGCCAAAGGCACAAACTAGTGATTTATGACTACGGCTTAAGTTCATGCTCGTCTAACATCAGTCGATAACTATCACCTCATTGGGCGTTTTTTCCAGCAGGGAATTTGTCTCTAAAGCCTGAACAATCTGTGCGGCTGAGGGTCTCGTCTCGGGGTCCTCGTTGGTGCAGAGGTAGAACAGCTCCACCGTCCTGCGGTACGAGCTGCCCAGAGCCTCGAAGTCCAGCGCCGGTCTCGTGCCCAGCTTCTCGTAGTACGCGTCCTCGTCAAAACTGTCCTCCATCGAGTCCTCTGCAGGAGAGCACAAGCTGGATTATTGATCTATTCTTCTCGGCGTGGTTTGATTTTAAAGGGTATTACTCGGCTAGAAAAGTAAATATTAAATTTGCTAATAGGGCTGCAGCAAGACATTAATGATAACCAGCATTTATTTATATTGATCGACTTTTTCTACATACCACTGAACATCTTTCATAACTTTATGGACATGCTATATGATTGTCGGAGGACTTTTACCAACAATATCATTACTTTTATATACATGATATACTAGGATTCTTACTCTGATATGCCTAACTAAGCATCTTCAATGACTGACATGCCATGTTATGCGTTTATTACTTTACATGCTGAACTATGATTCAACTATTCTATGATGTTTTATGACTTTTCGTTATTCTAACCAATGAATTCCTCATGAAGCTCCTGGCTGATGTCCAACTGAAAGAACATGACATGGCTGAAGACTTCAGGCCAACAAAGTAACCTTATTTTACATAAATAATCTTACAAAATGGCATGAATAGTATAGTATATAATATTGCCAAAAGGCCAAAAATGTGAATTTAAATAGTCAAACTGTCACAAGACAATTTTCCATACAAATGTTATATATTAAATAAGTACAGTATTACGGAGTTATCACTTTAAAAGTCATTGTACTGCATTTCATATTTTAAAGGTCATGGCATGTCACACAAAAGAGTTTCATTTAAAAAAATAAATCACAATATAAGATGACATTAGCCTTGGCATAAAGAGTTGACCGTCAGCAGAAGCCAGGGCTTCATATATGCACAAAGCGTCTCACCTTCAGTCTCCTCCTCCTCCTCCTCATCATCATCCATCAACATCTCCAGATGAGGCATGGCCAGTGTCATCATCTCCCACAGAGTCAGACCGTACGCAAAAATGTCCGCCTTGTCAGTGATTTCTCCTCCCTCATCCAGAGCTTCCTTCGGTTTCCATGGCTCCGTGCCGATGTACTCCGCCTTTGCGTCCGACACTGAGGGCAGAAGGAAGACACTGGATGAACTAGACGGACACTCGCATAGCGGGGGTGAAACATCTCGCGGTTATCCGCCTCGTGATGTTCTTTCTGGACCTTCAACAGAGTTTCTTGATAATTTGACTAGTAGTATTTCCGTAATTCTTCTAACAAACAGAAGTCAAAAACAAATGAACTAAAGACTGGACAACAATCTCATTACAAAACAACACATTAAATCTGTCCGTTTTCAAAAAAAGCAAAGACCCAGATGTTTGGGATTAGTTCCACAAAGACAAAGTCAGTTTGATTTAATTCTATTTTATTTGGATAGGCCAATTTGAATAAATCTCAAATTTGCCTCAGAGGGAGTTACAATAACCATAAGAGTTGCACAACCAGCTGCTGGTTCTTTCTAGTTCCATTAAAATGACAAATCAGAGCTCTCACAAAGGACGGTGCTGATTTCTACATTAAAGCCACTCAGTTGATTTGTATTCTGGATGCACACAGTCATTACCTCTCATGTTCTCGTCCAGCTGCAGAGACACACCAACGTCGCAGATCTTGACGGTCTCAAAGTCGCCCATGATGACAACGTTACAAGACTTTATGTCGCCGTGCAGCAGCTTCTTTTCATTGTGGAGATACTGGGGAGAGGAAAACACTTCTGTATTCAATTTATTTAGTACAGTTGCAAAATACAATCTACAAATACATTATATTGGTCCCATGGTGAAAGTAATCCAGCAGTAAGTAGTACAAAGTTAGCTTCTCAAACGCATCAACAATAGTACAATATAAAGTGGCTTTGGAGAGAGGTCTGAAGAGACTGACTGGAAGGAACTACATTTTCTCACTGGATTTAACTTGCTGGGCCTCCGGCTTCAGTTCCCTGTTTTCATGTTAAGTGGTGGCAGTTAGGATCAAATGTGTGGTTCACCTGAAGGCCACGGGCAACGTGCAGCGCTACTTTTTCAATGTTGGCCGCTGGGAAAGCTTTCAGGCCGTCCTTTTTCCTCTTCTCAATCAGGTCATTGAGTGACTGCTCTCCTCCGTACTCCATCGCTAGACACTTGGATCCATCTTTGGCCGTGGCGAAGGCACGAAACCCTTTTGATGTTGGAACAAGGGATCAAAATGAACAAACCAGAAGCTAACACATTATGGAAGACCAAAATAAAGATATAAACTGAGCTATTAATGGGTGGGAAACAAGCGATGAACAAGTCTTATTAAGTATAAGCATTGATCCACTTGTAACACAGTGAGTAGTGTACTGCTGACACGTCTTACCAACAATGTTTGGATGATTGATTCCTTTCAGGACCTCTGCCTCCTCATTCAGCCGTTTCTGGTAAATCGCCACCTGTTTGTTTGCACACTTGGTGTTGATCTTCTTGACAGCCCAGGGAGACGCATTCAACTTTCCCACTCTAGGATTAATTGGATCAACAATGCATACATATCATTTACACACAGAGGTGAAGATGACCCCATGCAGCAACAATTAAACAGGTATTATCAATTAATACTGAAGATGCATTTGCAAATGAATTAATTTCCTTTTGATGCAAGAATCTTTGCATAGGTGGCTCTTAAATGACCTCGCTGATTAAAAACACACTGCTCATCCTTTGTCACCATTTACTAAACACGTCCCCTGCTATCCAGCATACATCCACAATGCTCCACAAGCTGCCTTGTGCCTTGAGTGGTACAAGAATGTACTGTCACACCTGTTCATGAGGTAAACGTTGACTCCGGTCCCACAGCCCAGCTTCTTCATGAAGGGGGAGGCCGGGATGGTGACCGGGGTCCCGTTGCTTCCGAAGCTCTTCACTCGGCTGTTTTTAGGGGTCTTGAAAACGCTCTCATTGATGCCCGTGGAGGAGGAGGCCATTCTGTCCGGGGAAAAACGAGTGACGTCACAGTTCACAGGGGAAGAGGCCGATCGACCCAATCATACGTCAGTCATTACATGACGTAATTCCGACCAATCGACTGGATTAACGTTGGTCAGCACGCCTGAGACAATTCACGATAACATACTTTCTATGAAATACATATTTTATAGAAGGGGATGTTTTGATGTATTGATACAAGCCGAATTCAAATCTGAACGGTCATATAAAAAGTTTAAAAACGAGCAAAAATGTAATATTTTGAATGCTGGCTAATGGCTTCCCGCAAGGACGGCGTGCAGTGAAATAACCAAACGTGGAATGCATCAAAAGTTCAGGTAATTGTCTCCGTATTTCATAGCTGCAAGTAGCAGTTAAATAAAATAAAAACCGATATCAAATGTTAACGGTTAGATGACGTATGTGTCAACAACACAACATCATTTAGTCAACAGTTAATTAACCAACAGGTCGTTTAACGTAGATCTAAAAGTTTTGACACGATACGCATGATGCAACGGTTAGCTTCACGTTGTTTTCATAATGTTTAGAGTCCGATAACTCGATCGTTTATTTCACAGATCTAACGTTACCTGCTTCGTCTTTCAATGTCACTTACAGACGTTGATTTCTGAAATGGGACCGCGCAGAATATTCAAAATGTTGCTTCCGCCTCAGCGGGCTGCGGGGACGGAAGCCGCAGAGGAACAAACCGAACGAATGTTGTTTGGTGCTGCGGAGCGTTGAAAGGAGTTTAGTAACAGTATTTAGTTGAAATGCTACGCAGAGTATAAGTGGTGACTGGCAATATATATATATATATTACTTTCGTCACATTACTTTCGGTGTATTGAAATATGATTTATGTCAGGACAGGGCTGGCGCTGTCACTTGTATTATTTAAAACAACAAGAACAAGAACAAAAACATCTTTTGTGTGTATTCCCCTTTTTAGAAACTGGAGAGACTCTCAGTCATTGGATAAAGTTTCTGATTTTCCTCTTCGGTAAGGAGCTGGTACTTGGCAAAATCACTTGTATCAGCATATGTGCTGATTGGTGAGATGGCCCTGAGACTAAATAACATTTGTCCTAGCCATAGTGCTCATTATACCACTAGTTATCTGTTTTGTGTTGTAAGAGATTGTTCTGTTATTTTTCAAATGTCACGTGTTCACGCATGGACTTCTCATCAATGCGCGTACAACGTCAACCAGATGCAGTACCGGTTTCAGCCACAACGACGTGCCAATGGGCTGGTGGCGCTCTTTCAAGATAGATAGATGTTTATGTTGATAGTTGTTTGTGTTGCAATACATTTTGAATATCGAACTTCGAATTAGTATTGCGTGTTTATTACATCTATGGTTTTGCATTGAATCATTCTAGGATATTTACCTCCCCAGAAGCCCATTCAATACTTATCAGGAATCAGGAAACATTTAATGCCATAATATGTCAGACATACAAGGAATTTGACTTAGCTGTTGGTGCGTAACAGTAGACAGTACGACAATGACGACAGGCCAACAGTGCACGAGGAATAAAATAAAATATAATGCTATGGGTTAGTAATATAAGGCTATGGGCTAGTTTAAAATAAAAGAATACAAGTTCAAGTTAAAAAAGTGACAAGTGAAAGTGACGTGTGCAGTATGGAGGAAAGTGACCGGTGGGGGACCGGGCTCTGTTGATGAGCCCGACTGCCGACGGGAAGAAAGTGTTTGTGTGGCGGGAGGTCTTACTTCTGATGGACCTCAGCCCCCTGCCAGATGGAAGGGGCACAAACAGCTTGATTTCTCGATTTCAATTCTCCCAATTTGACACCTGACAGACGCAACCTTAGACACCTGTCCAGAGGTCAACTCCATTTGTACTCAATCAATTCACTCCCAAAGCCTGATTGAAAGGATAATTGAAAGTTACTGGGGGAATCCACAGGGAAGATAATTGATTGGAGTCTCCAAGGCGTTTAATCCCTTTCATTCTTCAAAACTCTTTTTGATCAAAGATCCAAGTTCGATCAACACGTACGGCCGGACGCTGCCACATTGCATTGTGGGTAATCACAGACACCACTGTGTAAGAGACGACGATCACTGTGTAAAAGACGATGATCATGACTCACGCGTGTCACCATCGAGCGTGACACATGTGAGTCATGATTAGGCGACGATGATGACTGCAACGCTCGATGCGTAACACGTGAGAGCCCTGAAAGTGTGTTAATCGCATTGTGGGTCATCACCAGTTCACTGCTTATGTGTTTTGTTTTGTACAACTTTTTACCAGCTGATGTCAGTGACGTTATAAAATGCTGTTATATTGTAGTAGGAGGTTGCTAGTTTGTTTGTAAGTCTGCAAAAGATACACGGATCAGCTTTTTATAGTTCTCAAACACTATATAACAGCAATGAATTTGTTTGATTTTAATTATTGCATGTTTCTGTTCTCTCTTTAACGTCGGGGACTTGTCTGAAAGACATTCACTCACTCAGACAATGAAGTTGACCCCGACCTCGACGCTCATGATCCCGTTATTGTTTCATCTCCTTCACATATGGCAAATGTTGCCAGCTGGATTCTCTGGTTGTATGAAGGAATAACCGTTTCATTATGCGTAAGAGGAGCAGGAATGTGGGCCAATGACAACTGGACGTGGATGGGAACTCTGGTGCATTTTATAGATTAAGAGTGCGTTTCTCTCTGATTATATCACCATCCAGTAAGAAAGAGAGGATGGTTCTTCAGGTTATGATTAACCTGCTCAAATAAGAACTATAACATACTCAACTACTAAGTAACTACTACATACAACTACTACATTTCTCATTTAAAACGTTGATTCATGCAAATTGAAGAATAATACTTTATTAATTAATAAATTACAGGAGTGTGAACGTGTGAAATTTTTAACTGAAGGGAAATCAAGACTTTCCCTGCTTATCCCGTATAACGATTCATATTACAATTAGTATTCACACTTAACTGAAATTATATACAAGCGTATAGGGCACTAGGGAGCCAAACAAGAAGAAATGTTGAACCCAAAGAGTTCATCACAATTCTAAAGCGAATATGTGTGCGTTAATAATAGGTTCATGTGAAAGGGATCAAACAAATGCACAGATAATTATCAGCTCTAAGGAGGGAGGAAGTTTCTTTCAGCTCACGATTTTGGATTTATGCTTTACAACTTTTCTTTTTGTGCTCAATCCTTCAGCTTTCGTCATATGCAGCCACTGCACACAGATGTTTGAACACGATCTACACTCACTGCTCACCACCGGACAGACGCACATAGTTAAGAACTAGTTGGTGAACATGTAGAAATATTTCCACATCAAAACATTCCATTTATTTGTCACTCTATTTACATATGTGTTGAATTGGTTCCACTTCAAAGCTAGTGGATATGTTTCTTTATCAAGTAAAACTTATATAAACTTTTACCTTCCTGAAGAATAAGTGAAACCATGTTGATCTGAGACCCAACGGCTTTGTAGTCTTTGCTCTGAATGTCGGCTATGTGTGTCGGACTGCAGGTGATTTTTCTTTCAATCATTACTACATCCGCTTCACATGTGGAAACGTTCATACATGTAATTACTGTTCAGAGCTGTCAATCAAGGCTCAAACATGATGGCTATACCCACGTGCTTCACCACTTGGGATCACATGCGTATCTTAAACTCAAAATGGTATTTAGATAATTTACTGAAGAAATGGGAATACTGAGAAACACAGAAAACACTTCACTACTAAGTAGAGGTTCTTTATTCAAACCTCACTTTAGTAAAGTAAATATTATCAGAAAAATGTGCATTGAGTATCAATAGTACATAAAAAGTGCAATAAAAAATAAAAAATCTGAAAAATGGAAATACTATAGTAAAGTACAAGTAATTCCAATTTGTATTTTAGGTATAATACAGTAGTAAATGTACTTAATCCCATTCTATCATTGATAGAATCAATCCCCCCGCCCCCTCTTGTTGACATCTTGAAAGGGCCAAACTCTTTTAATGTGGTCAGGAATAACAACGTTCACCTGTTTAAACATATGGACATTTTATTACTTCAGCAGTGCATATACAGCATTTTAGTGGTACAAACAGACCAAACACAAAGTAAAAAGTGTATTTTCTAAAGTAAACGTGAAACAATGTATTAGGTATTTTTACTGCACATAATCGTGTTTGATTTTGTCATTTGTCTCTGTATGTATGTTGTTAACTCTATAGCCCTCATATGTGCTATGACCAGCACAATGTAATAAAGAAGAGACACATGTGTGATTAGAGCCATTATGCAAAAGTAAAGCATAGTAAGGTCTTTGTTCAACCTAGTATACATTTAAAAAATACATTTAAGTGATTAAGTGCACTTTGGAATGTATTCTCACTTTCAGAGGGTCATCCAGCTTTTATAAAATCAATGTATCCTGGTTATTTGACCAAAACAAGGCGAAAATATCGATCTGAGTTTAGCAGGGTTAGTAACTAATCAAGAAATCTCATCACAACAAGTGTAGCCTGCTGATTACTTATATGCTACAACTTTGCCAGGAAGGAATAGCAGTCAAATATATTTGGTTGTGGGAAAAGGGGCAATTATAGGAGACATGTTTTTGTCTCTTATAATTGTCTCCACTTTCACATACATTTTCTGGTTTGAATTGAGTCCATATGGTTTTGATATGTGCAGCATTTTCACATGTTTAATTCTTAACCAGCAACGTGCTAGTTTAAATTAGATTTCTCTTTAAGAAAACATATGACTTCCTTCAGTTTTTTTCCTGAAAACATGACGTATAATCCACTGTACGATCAATCCTACATGACATGATGATCGAATACCAATGTTTTTAGATGAATGTCATTTTTTTACTTAGGAGATGGCACCCATCTCCAACCAAATACTGTATATATCTGTTATTAAACTGACTTTTAGTGCGCAACCCAGCCATAATATTTATACATATGCTGATGTTGGTAGCCTTGCTTACCATTCAAAATGATGAATCTAGTGCATGTAGATGAAATTCCTGACAAAAATATTTTTTAATCATATTTTGTCAATACAGTTTGCCAGCTGTAAATACATGTCATGGATGTTTAATCTGCTGACAGATGCCTTCCACATGACCATGAGGAGACCAACCACTACTTTTCTAATGAAAAAATCACATAGAGGTTAAAAAAGTCGAAATATCATTTAATGGCCTTTGCTTGTTCCACTTTGCACCTTCCACCTTCAGTAAAATATAGATGAGATATATCAAAAAAGATGATCTTGCTTCTATAAAAATACTTCATTGCCCAACATTAATCAATAGCAAAGGCCTGCTGGTATCAATACTGTGGAAAATAAAACATCATCAAACCTGCGTAAATACCTATTTTCAATTAATGATCTTGTTTTTCCTCCTGTGGTTAAAAGCACTGTTTTTAACAGCGACATTTTGGTCCTGTCCGAGTATGTGTGTGTGTGTGTGTTTTACAATAGGAGACCTAATCGTACAAACATTAGTTGGTAAGTATTCAACTCAATAACCTTGTAAATGTCTAGTTTTTTCCATTCAACCATTTTCAATACAACTACTGGGCATAAAAGTCTAGCTATTCATTCCAAAAGTGTAATACGGTAAAGTGAAAATGTACTTGACTTGACTTTTTCAAGTAGGATTGTATGATAGGTGCTTTGATGGCACACTCAGTAACTTTACAATTGGCCGGCCACATATTGCAGTGAGGGATGTGTTATCTATAATTGACTGTATTTTATAAAATACTTGAAGGCCTGGACTACACTAAAATCCTTTACATGGTATCAGAAGAAGTTCTGTAACTATCAGCTGCTGTATTTCACAATTCATATTATGTTTTATTGCTTGCTATGTGGCAGAATTCCTCCCCCCTGATGTCTGAGGGGAATCTGCTGCAGCCTTAACAGACAATTTTGGATTAATGCGAAGGTATTTTTACATTAAAGGATCTGACCTTGTCACCATTATAAGGATATTTACCCAGTATGTACGTTCAGGTGCTCATGATCGATAAATCTGTCAATAATTAGTTTGATCGATAGATTAAAAAATACATAATATAAAAAATATGGATATTTTTCTATATATATATATATATAGAAAAATATCCATATATATATTTTTTTGTTTTCTCTCTCTCTCTCTCTCTCTCTCTCTCTCTCTCTCTCTCTCTCTATATATATATATATATATATATATATATATATATATATATGTATATATATATAGAAAAATATCCATCATGGAAAATATTCACTTTTGAGAAACATGCATGACAATGTTATACACACACATGTAACTACGTACATGTATCTCATCTGCGCTCTAGTCTTCATAATTACTTCATTTGGCGATTGCAGTGACAATAACATTTTTCAAAATCATTGTTAGTTGCATTTCTTCTCCAACCATTTTCATTCAACGGAAATATGGCACACAGTAAATATTGATTTGGTGATTTGCAGGTTAAAATACTTTTGTTGAGGTGAAAATGTATTGGAATAATTGTCTTACTGCTTTATGGCATCATAGATATATATATTTGTATTTCTGTGCAAGCAAATATTAGCTAACACACACATTTGGCAGAAAGCCTGGTCTAATAATCACTTCCTTTTTTGGTGGGTTTTGGTCTCCAACTTATACTAAAGAGATCTCCTGTAGTTACTGTATATATTCCACTTAATGTTTTAACATACTTTTGTGCCTGATCATTAAGTTTCTCCAGGAAGCATTTAATGTCAGAGCTTCTTTCGACTGAACAAAAAATTGCTGCCTAAATGTTGTGGGCGGAGTTAAGACGGACGAACGGTAAACCATGAGCTCTGAAAAGACTTAATGTTGGTAATTATGCTCTGGTTTTAAAAATATCAGAGGAGAGCGGAAAAAATACAGCTTTGTTAGTAATGCACATAGAAACAAAGTACTTTGCCAAAAAAGCCAAGGAAGAAGAAGACTGCTAACTAGCAAACATGGAAGCGAACAATGCTTCGGTGAAATGTGTCCGCGGAAGGAAATTTCCGTGACAATGGTTGGACCTCATGGGTACATGCAATCTGTTTTGGGAATAAATCTCTACAGGCCACCCTAAAAATAGCAAAAAAGGTGCATTTTTTAACCTTTATTTTTGACCTACTAATCAACAAAGGATTGATTCTTAGCTAATGATGGTGTGTAGGAGGTCAAAACGGTGTATGTTCATCATCATTCAAAAGCCATTGCTCGATGATACTGTGAAAAGCAGCTGCCTGTAAATGAAGGAACAGGTTGTCAACTTCTGCAAAAACTTGAAACTTGGCGCTGAGAGGGGGAAGTTGTTGGATCATGTTCTAATTCCCAAACGAGGTCCAAGCAGTAAACCTGCGCCCCATAAGAGCCTCTGAGGGCAGATGCAGCTTTTGCAGGCTGACCTCCGGCCTCCACTGAAGACGTCCTGTCGTACCGTCGACCCCAGTTCAAGTGGTTCCTCAAACATGCTCAAAAGTGTTATCATTTTCCTTGCTCCCAAGATCCAGTCTCGTAGCTAAAACTATCAAATGTTAACTCATGAACTTCTAAGAAAGCTGCAGATTCATGCACAACATGGAAGTTTGTCACTTTTCCCGCAGGTAAAAAAAACATCACACTGCCGATGGTGCGACGCTGTGCGTCTCGTGGCTTCTTGAAAGTTGAAGGCACTGCGTGGGGGGGCGTGCGGCCGTTGCAGCATCGTGGAGGTTTCAGACAACGCACGTCACACCAGCATCCTCCACGTGGCCACAGTTGGTTTTGCCCCAGCCAGAAAACTTACACTGGTGGATGGTGTCTTCGGTCCCAACGCACGCCACGTCATCCATCCAGATCAAAGCACTACCTGCACACAGAGTAGAAAGGGGTTTATTTGTAGTGTACATAATGTATATCTTGTGAAAGCTTGCAGAAGACTGCAGGTGGATGCCGGGGAGGTGACAAGGAGAGCTGGGCTTTTCTGACACACAACCTCAAGATGGAAAGTGCTGCAGAGAATCCATCATGAGTGAATGTAAGATTTGTGGTGGTAAATTGCTTCACACGCTGTTGTCTTTTTAAGCTGAAATAAAGAATATTGTGAAACCGAACTTGTCTTTTAGATCATTTATTCTTGCAAGAAGTTGAACAATTATACAGTCCTAAGGAGTCTGTAGAAGTGTGCGCTAGTTATATAGAGAGTGATCAACGGTGGCTGCTGTATACTGAAATATAAATCCCTCATGCTACAGCTCATAAAGTAAAAGAAACCCTCTGTGTGTATAACAAGAAATACATGTTTTATCCCCAAAGCGTAGAACATGTGCATTTGAGAGCTTGTCATTCGACAGCAGGAACTGTCAGGATATGCGTACAGGTAGTCAGCTGCTGCATGAAACAGTTTGCAACATCTACTTTGAACAGTTCAGCTCAAATTGACTGCCTTTAGGGCTTAGGACGCTTCACTGGACTATATTGAGCATTTTGTCTTGTTTTGGTTCCATTTTTTATTTTCTTCAATCTAAATTCCTGTTTTTATAAGTCACATTTGTTCAAACTCTGCCTTTTGTGAAGTAAAAAACCCGATAAAAACACTAATAAACATCCACGAATCTGCTTGCAGGGTTTTCCTTAAAGGAAGCCCCAGCAACTTTCAACAATTATTATCTTTATTTTGCTACATTTGACATATTTTCTCTTCTTTATTATTGTAGAATTTTGTTTTTTCTTTTATTTACTACAACATTTCATTGTGATAAACAATGACAACATTCTCTGTGAAAGTGACAACGACAAATTAACTTCACCAAAACATCAAATAGGAAAAATAAACGTTTTCTTCATCAATAATCAACAATAATTATAGTCATGTTGCATTTTACAACAATTTTGTGCCAAAGTTGAAGAAATCCGCTAAGGGTCGTCCTGGCCGACACACCCGAAAAGCCACGGGAAATCACATCTGGACATTGACATCACTTCAGCGGCGTCTCTCAATGAAGCAGCTCCAGCAGCCAACAGCAAGTACTCCTCAAAAGATTTATCACAAAATATTGTATCCGGTGACAGAATACACACTTACCCAGCTGGTAAGCCTTGCATTTAGACACATGGTTTCCCCATATAGAACTATAGCTATAAAACTGGTTCCTGTTTGTAAAGCCAGGACTCACTTGGAGCTTCAAAAAAAGTCCCTTTGGTTTCACCAAACACTGAGCTGTGAGGGAATGAGGGTGCTGATGTTGCAGTTTAAGGACACATGGCGAAAGGGGTTTGTGTCCAGTACTTGAGAAGAGAGGCTGACTCATCAGCAATGCCCTGAAAGCAACATCTGGGGGATCTCTGCTGCTACCCTCGATGTCACAACTGCTCATCACTCGGCTGTGGGGATTTAAACAAATTGTGGTGCTCAGAAAAAATGAGATAGAGAAGTGAAACAAACAATATACAAACATGAGGTTGGCCAAGTCCTGGACGAGGAAGATACAATATATAAAAAAATGAATGAATTGTCGCCTTTTAGGTAAGACCCATTTGAAAAATGTAACTGTGACTGAACTGAGTCAGTTTTCTTTAGTCGTTCATACATGTTCATACGTCTGCATCTCAATTCAATTGAGAAAAAACTATTAAAAAATGTAATAAAACTTTAGTTGACAATGAAGGCTCTGAGAAAAATACATGAAGTTATTTTGTCCACAAACAAAGCAAATTTCCGTAGAATTTGATAACAAAGTTGCATTTAAGGACTCGTATCTGCCAATAAATCTAAATAATCTGCAAATCAATCAACCCATATTCTTTCAGCATTCATGCTTTTCTTCACAACTGCAGAGAGCAGAAAAGAAACTGGCTGCAGAGTTGACATCTTGTCTCTATGAGGGTGTGTACAGGATGGAAATGAGGTATGCATGGGAGGGGGGGATACGAGCCCCAGCTGTTCAGCTGCTGTGCCTCCTCGGGGTTTGCTTAAATGGACACGGACCTTTAAACTGTTTGTTCTGGATCTCAACACACTTTCACTTCACTGTCTGCCAGCCGAGGTTCAGACCACTCGCACCAAACTTATGACACTTTTCACAAATAACTGTTAAATCCCCCAGAACATCCCTCTGTGAGGGATTTTATGGGAACACCCAGGCAGGATTTGGGGAAAGTCACTCACTTTTACAACGGTTGGAAGGATTAAAAGGTTGTTTGAATAGGTGCCTTCTAACTGATCATGGACTATTTATTCTGTTTCTCTTCATGGGAGAAAGAAACAAGTATTCTTTGTTTGCCCTTTATTTTTTAATTTTTAAATATTTTTAACTTTGACTTTATTGACTTTTATTTTAAACTAACCCATAGCCTTATTCTACTAACCCATAGCATTCACATTTTATTTTATTTTATTACTCGTGCCCTGCTGTCTTGTGGTCTATTGTCATACTGTCTACTGTCACGCACCAACCGCCAAGTCAAATTCCTTGTATGTCTGACATATTTTGGCAATAAATGTTTCCTGATTCCTGATTGTCTACTTTTTCTGTCTATCCAAAATTTTGCCATCTGGATTTTTGCCATGTGTTTTTATTTTTGCATTATTAAATGTCAAAGGGAAAGAGGTATCGTAAACTGTACAGACCATAAAACCCATTCATGCTAATTTTCCAACTGTGATAGTTTGGATAATAAGATTAAACATCATCAAACTTAAGAAGCAATATAAAAGAAAAACAGGGTTTTGGATACTCAAAACGCTGCTGGGGGAGCCACAGGCCATAACCATATATGTTAAGAACTCTTTAAGACCTATTCGTCCATATGGGAGAATCTGAACGCTAATTCAACAGCAGTTGACAAAACAATCTCACCATTTTGCTTTGCTTTTGATTGACAGAAATTTGGGGTTCATGAGGCCCTGATTGCCTCTACAGTCGCTTTGTGTCAAATACTGCCATGGCGTGTGAAAATAAATATGTCATAAATACGTCATACAACTTAATGTATCCAACAGTTACAGGGCTGATCTGTGTCTGAATGCGGCTAATTCTTAGAAGATTTGTCTCATCTAAAAATATGTATTTGAATGGCAGATAGTTTTGAATTGGATTCAGCCGTGATGTTAGTCACTGCTTCGGAGGTCGTCAAAGTCTGGATCAAAGTCATGTTTCCCCCACAATTTTTCCAGACTCATCGGTAACAACTCTGCCTGGACAGAGACTGAATGATGTAAGGCTGACTGGGTGAATGAAATGAAATGGAAAGGGAGAGCGGGGCGTAGAGGGAGAGAGCGAGAGAGCGAGAGAGATGGATATGACCCTTGAGACTCTTACTTGACGACATTTGGCATGCATGACTTTCCCCATAAAACTTTAATATTAATCCCTGCAGCAATTTAAGCAATTTGTTAAGGCAGATAAAGCCCCTTTACAACTGAAAAAATGCAGTTAGTAAAAATGAAAACTACTACCATCAGTAAACTTCATGGATGTGTGGTGTGGGATAATTTTTAAAGTATCTTGGTTGAGATATTTATTTTTTATTCCACAAAATGACCACATACCCATACAGGATGATCTTAAAAGGGAAAGTACCGTCAAACTTAATAATCAAATATCATCTATTCTGACTTGTGTTACTGTAGTTAATACTGGTGATGCCTTAATGCAAATCGCAAATCAAGCAAATATTAGGTTTGAATTGGAATATAATAGAGATTATTAAAAGGATTATTTTGTAAGGTGGCTCATATATACATTTGATGGCTACATGTTTTAAAATAAAACAAAAATTCAGCATCCTAAAATCTGTCAGCCCTGGAACCCGCAGACCTGAGCCAAATGGCTGTATGGTCGGCTGGAAGGCGAGAGCAGGAAAACACGCCAGGGTTTCGGGACAGAGGATGTCGTATGTGTACAGACTGTAAAGCCCTCTGAGGCAAATTTGTAATTTGCGATTTTGAGCTATACAAAATAAAATGAATTGAATCGAATTGAATTAAAACAACAGCCCGCAGATGTTTGAGTGCCGCTCGTCCCTTCTCACCCTGTCCGAAGCGTCCTGTCTTATGGACCTCAGCGACTCCTCCGTATCCCAGCATCCTGCACACCACGGCTCCATCCTTTTTGTCCCAGACGTCGTCACACACAGTACCCCAGCGCCGTTCATGGAACACCTCCACACGGCCTTCATGAGGGCCTGACCCGTTCACCAGCCGCACTAGTGTCTCCTCCACTGCAACACACACAAGCACACATTAACGTAAGGATCAGTGTGCAGACGTAAATACACATAAACTGGCATGTATACAAATGTGTCTTTGTTAGGTATTCCAACATGGCTCTCTTTATTCGGCACTCATTGACCTGATTACTTTGATTGTGAGTGTTTAATGGAGCCTTGTAAATCAAACCGATATGACAACAAGCAGAGATGAATAGGTGGTGTCCAACGTAATGCAGAACATTTCACACAGAAACCACACAAAAAGTCAACAAAAAAGCATCAATCAGGTCCACTACCCACCTTAAAATAGTTGTGAATCTACAACTGTTGAGTGAAGCATTACCCTCATATTTACAAAGCGAACACACAAGTTATTAGTCTCTTCACCTCACTCTGGATAAGAGTGAGAAAAGCCTATTTCCCACATTGTTGAACTATTTCTCTAAATAGATTACCAAATATGAAAATAGTGTGTAGGTAGACGGGCGTAATGTAAATTAAGCTACTGTACTACTGTAATACTACTCACTTATTATGAGTTTCCAAGCCAAAGTTATTACTGTATTTGTACATTTCAAAACTTGATCGCCAGCAGACACTGTGTGTGTATTAAAGACACCTGGTAGAATAATGTTGTTGTGATAATAATGATGTTTATGACGCACACCTTCATGTACAAGCCCCTTCCAGTAAACCTTTCTCATTGCCCTTTTAGCCTATTAAGCTCGCGGAGATCCAAATTTACAAATGTAAACGCATTGTATCGCAATAAAAGTCCCTTTTGAATTAATCAATAAAGTGCTGCCGCATTTCGAGAATCAATAAAAACAAGTAAAAACCTGTTTCCGTGATATGATTTAAACCGTGTCAGCATTTAACTTGTATCAGTTTGTTTGACATGTTTTACAAATATCTCCTTTTAATAAAATTGATTTTATATAAATATATATATATATATATATATATATATATATATATATATATATATATATATATATATATATATATATATATATATGTATATATACAACTAATTAACAGTTAAATATAATAGTTACAAGGTGAAAATAAACATCAGAATCACATTGACGTGTGTGAGTGCACGTGTTTCTGTGAGTGTGTTTTTGTTAGCGGCTTCTTGGATCCAAAGTAATCTCGTATTCCTGAAACTATGCTGTGTAATTAAGTTGATTTATCACCTTTCACAGCGCAGAGAGAAAAAGAGAAAGGGAGGTAAACACAGTCGCACCCACACAAGCTGTTACACACACACACAAACCCACACACAGCCACACATTGTGTTAAGACGTGCGCGCTTACTCGAGACCGTTGACAAAGTGGTGGAGAGTAAATCCAGACACATTATCTGGACAGGATATTAGGCTCATCAGACCATCATAAATTCTAAATGTGTACCCTTTGACACTTATTAGACAGTCAAGTAGTTTGCACCCACTAGCCCATAATCATAACTTGACACCTAACATAACATCATATGTGCTGAGTCTTCGTATGACATTATTGCAGAAAACCTGCAATTGAAAAAAATTAACGTACTGTTGCTCTTTTCTTTACAAACAAAAAATGCTGGAATAGTATTTGCTTAGTTTTCAGCAACAAATTAGTAATTGCGAACTGAAACAGCTGTTGAAACGGGACGGCCTCTTGGCCTCTTAGTGTTAGATATAAGATTATTTTTTCAGAGCCAGTGGTGAAAAAAGTACTCAGATCTTCCTGCAAAGTAAACGTAGCAATGTCACACTGTAGAAATACAAGTAACAGTACTCAAGCTCAACCAATATATATTTTTGGGTGGGCTTTTTGGTGAGTTTATATCTGTGCGTAGTAATATGAGTTTCTTCTCCCCGTAAAGTAAGCGGGGCTCCCGGTTCTGCATACGTGAGCATATTTGTAGGAAATACGAATTTTGTTTTCCTGCATGCCTCCTTACTCATTATGGCACCCCAAAAGCTTAAATTTCTATTGCTAAAAAATAATGACAATTATAATTATATAAATTATAATTACATTCTATTGAAAATGCAATGTCTGTAACAGTGTTTATCAATGAGGTGCCTTCGACCTGAATTAGCACGTGGAGCTGGGGAAACATGTCTCAGCCTCTCGGACCATCAGCTCCCCCCAAGGCTGCGTTCTTTCCCCTCTGCTCTTCTCCCTGTACACCAACAACTGCACCTCCAGTCACCAGTCCGTCAAGCTCGTGAAGTTTGCGGATGACACCACCCTCATCTCTGGTGGGGATGAGTCGGCCTACAGGTGGGAGTCCTGGGACATCTGGCGTCGCGGTGCAGCCTGAAGCTAAAGAGATCGTAGCCGACCCCTCGCAGCCCGGACAAAAACTGTTTGTGCCCCTTCATTCCGGCAGGAGGCTGAGGTCCATCAGGACCAAGACCTCCCGCTACACTGTCGGCAGTCAGGCTCATCAACAGAGCCCGGGTCCCCCCTGACTGACTCTGACATCCCACCAGTCACTCCCTTCACACTGCACATGCACATACACATACACTTGTAATACTTAATACAAGTATTAATATAATTTGGAGATTTGGTGCACAATATTTCACCTCAATTTGGCACATCTTTTGTCCAGCTCCGCTCTGGCTCCATAGTTTTAAAATCCAAATTGCAACCAGACCTTTGTCTTTAAGCTTGGCGTTGACTTCAGTCGAGCAGCTACCGTCATGTTTTGATTCAACCGAGGTTCGCTTTAGTCTCGCACATGGCCAGATCTATCAGCAATAACCAGAACCAGGCTAACCATACAGTTCCAACGGCTTTAACCATTGCATCCATATTGAATCATTCAATTGAAGATTGATTTGAACATTTTAAACTCAGCCCAAGATCAAAGGGTCAAAGTGGGTCTGATCTGTGGATACAATTAAAAATAACAATTTTAAGACTGACCTCACTGTTTTAAAGTGTTTCCAGCATGAATATTTCGGCATGTGGGTTTGCTTAGCAGTAATTGTAAATTAGAAATTAATGAAATTAGATTAAACTACACTGTGGGAGTTGGGTTGTTCTGTTCCCACAAACAGATAATTGAATTCATAAAATGAAAAGTGAACATGAATAATATGTGAGAACTGAAGAGTAGAACGTAGATATACATTAACTCATCTCTGTTTAGATTCTTCAGTACTGATGTTGCAGAGTGACATTAATGAAAGCTTTTACCTAAACTTAAAATAATAATAACAATGTGCTTTCCAAACCCAAATAATATGTTTGGATCCTTGTAGCTGCGCAGGTTCATTGTAAAAATTAAGTGTTGGACCCTTGAGATCCAACTGTAAGCTGGTGTAAAAGGTGTGTGTGTGGTTGTGTGTGTGTGTGTTTGAGAGCGTCACCTCAAATCACACTCGTAATATATCAACTGTCAAAAGAAAATTACACAAAATTACACAAAAAAGAAAAATGTGGTGTTTTGTTACAAGTCAAAAACATGTTGGAAAAAGTCTCTGAAGAATTATATTAGGGAAATTGTTGGACTTATCAATCAAACAATATTAAACATAAACATATTCAGGAAACCACTAAAATATTCACAATATTGCAAAGTGAATATCTGCTGTAACATAAGCCAACATCTTTATTCTGCTTATCTTAGTGGATTAACCCTACAGCAGCTCATCCAGGCCACTAAAGTATTTCCTTTTCAAGGGGATCACGTTTACGCACTTTGTGGACGCTTCATTGGGCTCTTTGCTAGCTTCTTCAGACACAGCAAATTTGGTGGTGTGTCTGGTAAGCGATCATATAGGCATGCAGTGCACGCTTAGAGGCGTAAAATGATCTGAGTCATGCATCGATTCATATCTTAACCGCATGAGGTCTGCGACAGCAGCGGGGAGGCTGTGATTTGGTATTTCTGACAGCCAGCAGCATGTGGTCTCAGTCTGCCTTTTCTCTGAAACCTCACAGATCCTCGCCTCGTAAATTATGTGAGAAAAGAATTGATGTTTGACGTTTCTTCGACGGGCAGAAAAAACATTTCGAGAGGGGCGCGGGTTCACGTGTTTGAAGGGAACTCCACCTCATCGCTCATCACATGGAAAAAAGAAGGAAAAACAACCTTTTATAGCAAAAGAAAAAAAATGTCTGTGGTTTGTGGACATTATTGTTTTTTTTTTTTCTTTGGACCACGTTGGTGGTCATAGATCATAATATTTCAGTTTAACCTCACAAAACACATGTATATACCAACAATGGTTTTAAAGTTGTTTAAACTTCCCTCAGCTCTTTGTATGTCAGGTGTGGCAGAATGTCAGGTGTGGCAGAGATCTATGAGGCTCATAAAGTCATCAGCTCGTAAATATCTGGGCTTATTTAGCCAAATTTGGATTCTGTGCACTGATACATGGGCTCGTATCAGAGCATTGTTTCTTTACCATGTAGCCATTAATGGTAGGTGACTTATATATATATATATATATATATATATATATATATATATATATATATGTATATAACGGTTAGATATATATATATCAACGGTTTTTATTTAATTTGATTATTTACCATAAGTTTTAATCTTCATCCTACAATTTGGGATCTCTTGTTTAAATGCGATCAGTTAATAATGTCTGTATGTATAGCTGGCTTCTCCTGGGTATTGCCACTACTGTACATTTCAGTACAGAGATACAGCATCTGGTTTTCAAATATCCTTTGTAGGGAAAACCAAGAGGGTTCAAAGACCACTCTAACCATCTGGATACAAATGTTTTTCCACTGCATATTGAAGTAATTGACATTGAAGTGGTGGAAAAACCCCTAATGTGTACAACATGAAGCATAATCGAACAATACATTATCAGTTATATTGTTATATGTTAAAGTTTCTTTCTAATATTGTATATTTTCAAAAAAACATTCGCAATTTGCTTGGGGTTAACAACACGGTGAATGGGATACTCATCTTTGTAATGTTTAATACATAAAAGGCAAAAATTGATGCTATCATCCCACCACAACAGAACTACAGAACTTCAGAAGATGTCTGTAATAGTTGTAGAGTAGAGATGTAACTAAGTTATAGAATTGTGTGTTCCTGATGTTTACTTGGAGATGAGATCTCTTATGATGCATCACAAAATGCGGCTTTTTCAAGTGTTATTTGTCATTCTAATACTTCATTAGTTTAAAAGCTTCATAAGTGTGAGTTCTGAGGCCTTGGTGGCCCAAATTATATCAACCTCAAAAACAAGTATTTATCAAAACGTCATCAGAATAAAAAGCTCTTTACTCTCATCACATAAAACTGTTAAGATGCTGGTATAAATTATATTAAACAGTGTCACTGGAGTTGAAACATTGTGACATAAGTTAATATAACTTGGTTTTCAGCAAAAAGGTCTATAAAACACTTATATTTAGCGTTGAATCCTTTAGCAGACCATCACTTGACTGATGAACCACATTGACTGCCTCTGTACTGGCCGTCAAGCACAACAGTGATTAAGTCATGAAACAAAAGGGAAAAGCAGTGTTTCCGCAGACTTTCTTGGTAATTTAAGGCTGGTGATGACTTTTTAAAGAAATAAAAGGTTCCTTTAGCCAACTGTCTCTCTAAAAGCCAGGGAGCTAAGAGAAGGGACCTTAAGTTGCTGCAACCAAAACCTAATAGGAATGAGGTTGGCTGACCGGTTAGGTCAGTGATTTGCAAATGCGCGACTGGTGCTGGACCGAAAAACATTATTTGGCTGTTTGTCACTTCTTTCCTCACACCTTCACACTGTTCACAATATATGAGCTCTTACCTGTTTTCTCCCCTCTGTCACCCTTTTCTCCCTTCAACCCTCTTTCTCCTCTGTCACCTGAGGACAAACAGAGAAGCAAACAGACATCCAACCTGAACTCTCCATCTCATTAGACTTGTTTCTAGATTGTTTCTAGACTCTTCATTGGACTTGTGAGAGAAAATGTTGTATCGTGCTTCAGTTTAATTAATATTGTTTGCAGTATGTTTTATTTAGGCCTAATCCTAAATGTTCTGTCTTTGCATGTCCAGTGACCATATTGCATCAAATCTGTCATCTTTGTTGTTGTTGTTTTCTTCCTTCATGATAAAATAACCACTCCAAACTACACACACATGATTACGTAATAAAACAGTAAAGAATAATCAAAATGTGCGATTTCCAGTATTTTCCACAAAAAAATACTCTATTTGTATTGTATTTCTGTGATTTTGCATATAATATCCGTTTTTTTTTTAATGGCAATGTGTAAGCCATAGCTACTTCTCCTGGAGATATAGGGGGCAGCATATCACCTCTTCTTCTGGGTCCTTAGAATAAACAAACAAAACCTACAAACGCACAGCGTCAGTGTATAGTTCTGTGTGTGTTCGTGCCACTAAGCAGGGCTAGCATGCTCAGTGTCAGTTATTGGATTGAATGTTTTTAGTCTCTAAAGAAGTTTGCCCTGTAATTAGGCTTTGTGTTATAAGCGTAGATGTGAACGATTTAAAGACACACACGCTTACTTTACCTCAAGGAGTTTATAGTTAAACCTTTGTTTTCGTGGGTGGAGGAGGTCGAAATAAAGCCGGCAGACAAAGAATGGACAGAAGTAGAACTGAAATAGTGACGTCAAGATTATTTCTTGGAATTCTTCAGTGTAGATTTTGTTTACATGTTGAAAAACAGCTCAATCATTGAGAGGGAAAAAAACTCTCATTTGTGGTTTCGGCAAAATTACAGAATGTTTAAGCACGGCGCCTCCCTCCAACCGGCACCTTGGATACGTCTTTTTCTCATTTTTCTTTTTGTTACAAAATATGATTCTAATTTAAACTTGGGAAACAACCTCCACAGCAAGAGAGGCATTTGTTGAGAACTTTCAGCCACGAGGCTTGGAACCACAAGTCTGTTATTGCCATGAAGCTATAAGAGGATCAGCTTCATCCCACCCTTAATTTTAATCTCTATTTCACATCCTAGCCCACAGGGGCAGAAGGTGAGGTGGCACGATGTCCCACGTGTTACTGCATGTGTGTGTGTAGATGACCAAGTCGTGGATCTAACACCCCACCCTGCCTGTAACGGGCCTCAGCTGACAGTTTTAGCTTCATCTTGACCGCATCCTTAACAACTAAATAACTTACTAGGAAAAACCAGATAAGCAACAGCCAAAAGTTGCATGCAGGTGATGAACAGTGGGTTATGAGAGAACATGTGACATTTAAGCGCTTCACTAATGAACTCGTTTTTGGCACATTAGCAGCTGTATAGATTCAGTTGGTCCAGCAATTTATCTCACTATTGGATGCCTCGCAATTACATACTTCCATGGTGCCCGGAGGGTAAATCCTAATGACTTTGAGGCACCCGTGATTTTCCTTTAGTGCGACCATTAGGCTCAAGTCCATTGATATCATAAATAGTTCCAAGAATAATGTTGTTTCCATCAGCCTTGATTGTACTTTCTGCTCATTGCCAACGAGCAAATGCTCGCAACGCAACAAGCCACACATTGCATGTTAGTACTGTCATTGGTACCAGCATGGCTGTAGGCCTTTTGCCTTGTTTATATCCACAATAAATACTTTGATAAACAGTTTGTTTCATGCTTTCTTCTGAGAGGTGGAGACCAGAACACAGCTGAAAGGCCAGTGAATATTGAACGTACAGAAATCCGTTTGCCAAAGCCAGAACTGGCCAAGAGGACGGTCAAACCAGCTTTGAACACCAAGGAATTACGTGCCATATTCCGGCCACCTTGTTCGGTCCAGCTGATCTGTCGCGCATTATGAGAAGAAGACACACCTAACGCTCTCTCTGCTCACTCTATCCACCATTCATCTATAAAAAGGAACCACAGAGCTTCAGAGCGCTGCTTTAACAAGCTTTCAGTATCCACAGCTGAGCACCCGCCTTCCCCTGAGGCCGACATCACACCAGAAAGTCTACAAACTCTTCACCCTTCGCTGGTTTGTTGAATCCACAACCAGACCCCAGATGGGTGTGGACACAGACAGACATTGTCGTAAACTTCCTGAGTGTGGCCAGACATCCGCAAGGAACACCTTGTTTTCTTCATCTTTTCTCCGTTCTTCTTGGAAAATGCTAATTTGTGTGGTGTTTTCAAATCTTTACAACTTTAACTTGTCAACCAAACAATGGTGCAAGTACCAGATCTTTCTGAGGCTGCTACTCTTTTCATGTTCGCTCAGGCATGGTGTCTTTTCCTTGTCTGGGTTAAACTTTTCACTCTTTTGCCGTTTACACCAAATAAAAACAAGCTCTAATTTACAACAAAATGACACTTCCTATCTATATGTTTTTCATTATTCAAACACCATAAAAAGGGAACAATACCTTGCGTAACATTACTTTAGCAATTCATTTCATAATTTCTTTTGTAATCATTATATACTGTATGTTAAAATATTTCTTTGCTTCGCCTCATTTGAAAAAGCGGCTCTCATGCACAGGCACCTGTTTGTGTGGAATAAATAAATGGAAGATACGGATAGTTAAGCAATTATAACTTCCATGGGAAAAACTAAAAAGCGGAACCAAGTGCCACCTGCTAGTGTGTGAAAGAAGCTTGAGCTAACAACGTCCTGCTGAGCAATGTTCTACCCTGGCAGAAAAAAACACTTGGAGCAGCCATCTGCAAAGCCTAAAATGATTTGAGCTGTGAACGCGTTGACATGATTCAGCTGTTATGCTGCAAGGGTGTGACAAGCTTTATTATTGACTTGTGAATGACACTGGGTGAGTGAGTGAATTTAACGCGACTACTGTTACCCCCCTAAAGTACACAGCGTTGTGATTGCCATCTTCTACTCTGATTGTGTTTCATTCTGCACATTCTTGTGCTGCGGGATGTTTTTCCAGATGAACATTCTCTGCCTTGACCGTGATGCATCAGACAGCAATGAACAAAAAAATCAACTGCTTTTTGAAAATTTTGAGAGTAAATAAGATATGATTAAAATGTGTTGATTGATATTAGGGATAAAATACATACCTCTGGGACCAGCAGGCCCAATTTCCCCCTTTTCTCCATGGAAACCGCTGACTCCGACTGACCCTTTAATTCCCTGGTTGCCCTGGATCCCTTTTTCTCCTGTAAACCCTGAAACACAAACTTCATCAGACTCATCAGCTGTGACAGGATTCAAAGTTACTTAACTATCATGATCTTTGCCTGCCCGAAAGTAAATCCTGTAATGTGGTTTTAATACATTTTCGTTTAGGGCAGTAATGGTCAGATGTTAATTTGCAAATATTCAACTTATTTAGCATTAAGATTCTGCGGTGGGGCAACCTATGAAATCCATATGAAATGGACTTTGTCTTCAGTTATAACATTCGATCTTTGACAATCCCATTGAATACTATGGCAGTTTGAAAAAAGCAAAAGGACACATTTCAAATAGGCCGTTCTTCTTCCCGTTGGCCCTCCCTGACCCCACTTAAATTTCTAAAGAAATACAGTTCTTCCCCCATCTGCCAATGCTTCAAATCTCTGAATGCTTGACTTCGCTCTATTGCACAAAACAATCCAATTCAGATTCTCTGTTAAGTCTGACCCGAAGGTACACAATGAATATTTCTGTTTACAGTAAGCACGCTGAAATGTCTTGAACTCGCTAACCGTTGAAGCACGAAGCAAAATCTTGTCGCTGCAGCTCAATGCTCTGATTACATTGTTGTGAATACACAGCAATCTGAATGACATAATTACACTGAATGCATTAAAGACAGAGACACAAAATAAACTGATGATTGATAATTTGTCTCCCTCCGTAAAAAAACAGTATCATTGTCTGGAAGGACTGCAATGCATTCTGCAGAAAAGTCCAACGAGATCATTCAATAAATGCAAAAGGATTCTAAAATCCTTGATGTGATGATAGATTCTGTGGAGAAACAGACGTGCATGTGCTGCCTTTCACACAGATTACGTTGATAGTCGAATGCAATACTACAGAATAGCTGTAAGTAAAAGAATCTGAATTGATTGTTCATTGCATTCATGCCTGATGACATCTAACAGATATCCTAAATTAAGTGAACACTAAACCCACTACATACCTTGCCTTGTCATTTATTTCACCCTAAATTGGACCAGAATTTACTCTGGACCATTTCCTCCTTCCCTACGGATATAATTTGTTTTCATTCACTGTTTCCAGGAATGATAGCAGTGTTGTAGTGGGGTGGGTGGGGGTTCAGCAGAAAGATAATGCCTCGTAGGAGCATGAGGGCTGCAGTTCAAGGACCGGGGAATGTAGATAAGATAATAACAGGGTTGATGATTTAAGAGGTGCCAAGTTGGAAAGGGTCCCTAAAACATCTGGATTCACACTGTTTTTATCTTAAAGTATATGAGAACAGTCATTCCAGGGTTCTAAGGTGCCTGTTCGGTCCGGATGAGGTTTATACGAATATAGATGACGTGTCCCACTAGCCTCCAAAGCCTGTCTCAAAACAAATTCCTGTCCAAAATATGGGGCTTTGTTTTCTTTAGCGTACTAAGACCCAATCTCGGTTCACTGATTATTACAACAACTATTATTACAACTGAATTTCATCACAAAAGCAGAGGTTACAACTCCAGCTAATGTCTGTTTGGCGTAAAAGTAACCAACATACTGACCTTTCACCAAAACCCTTTGTGTTAAAAAAGGTCCGTAACTCAAAATTGGATGCTTACATTGGAAATGTAAAGGGCAAGTGCATTTTATGACCTGAAATCAAATGATTATAGATATAGATGATTATAATGATTATAGATTATAGAGTTTTTCTGCCTTACAGGTATGACAAAAATGTAAGTGACAGCCTTCCAAAGCAGTAATTTCCACTGATTCTCCAACATGTTGAGGATTTGCTTGTGGTGGTTGATATTAAAGGTTGAAACGATAGTATTTGAATTTAGTACTGAGGCATACAGGAAGCGAAGGGACAGACACGTGGGGGTAGAGCTCAACAATGGTAAGCTTTGTGGAGATGTGGTATGTTCCTTATTCTTTCAGGCCATCGAGACCTCCGGCCAGCTTCATTTCTAATGGAAAAATATGTGAATGGTATCAATCATGTCATCCACGTCTGCTAAAAACAAAATATTTCCCCAAATCTGAATTTGTTTGAATGGGTCTTTGGCCGTTTGTATGCAATTCAAAAACCCAGGAATGTCATTCTGGTTTAACCCACCTCGCAGGCCTGTCAACCCAGGAGCCCCGGGGGGCCCCAATGGTCCGTTATCACCCTTCTCTCCTTTTGGCCCTGGAGGGCCTGCAAAAAGAAACAAAATTACAAACATAATGCAAAATATATATTTAATGTGAGTTTTCTTTAGTTTTGAAAAATAACTGCACATGTATGTTTATAATACATTTACTTAGAAGTAACTCACTTTCGAAAGGAAATACTTTTGATTTTTAGACTTTACTGTACAAGCTGCAACAGGGGATTGTTTTAGGAATTAGAAAGAAAATAGAAATATAAGCAACACTCAATAATGCTTAATAACGATACGTCGGATTGCTTAACATCAAAGGTGCCAAAATCAAGGGAGGAAGGAATCATGTAGATTTTCACTTGAAACAGATTAAATGAGACCATATAATGATTTTATCAATGTCAGCAAAACCGGGTCCCATTCCTAATATATCATGGTAGCCATACACACACAACATAACAGTACAGCCAAAACGTAGGCAAGGCTGGGTCTTACAACTCGTTTCGAGGATTCAATCCAAAAATGTTGTTTTACTTGGAGAAAGCGAGTGAAGAAAAAGCCAAATAGTGATTGAAAGAGGGCGAGAGAGAAACGCACACGAAGAGAGAGACGGGGAAAGAGAGGCCCGCCACAATGGGAGCCACATGTTTAATAAGGTGGACCACGACACAGCTGGTGGGAATGCTTAAAAATCTAAGGCTTGTTATTGTCCAGGGGTTCTGATCCTTCAGAGCCTCTAATTTTCTTCATTTGCAAGTTTCTGATGCCAAGAATCTGCTGACCGCCATCGAGATGCAGATCTGCCTGCTGGAGCCGCGAGCAGCTTCACAACTGGACACACTTAACTGGTGACCACGGGTCAGGAACCTATGAAAAGGTCCCATTAGGAGGTGAGGCTGCTCGCCTATTGCCACGGCCACATGTGCGTTTTCGTATTTCTATAAAGGTGAGGATAATCTTGGTCAATTGGAATAGTAAATAGCTGCTATTTCCACTTAGCGTTTATTAAAAAGGGTATTTTAGCTTGAAAAAATGCAGAATATTCTCTTTTCATTTTTTCTTGCTATTGTAATCCTATGTGCAGAGTTTACCTGAAGAACTGATTTGACTTGGATGAACCTTTGCAGGTTCTTGTTAGTTTTGAGCACACTAAATCTCCTACAGAACTTTTCATAGTACCCTGCGGGCCTATCAATGGTCAGCATTCAACAACATAACAGGAAACACAGATGTTGCAGTTCAAGTCAGTTGCATCGGTCAAAATGCAGCAGATTACGGAGTAGAAAAGGGCTAAATAGAGTGTTTGTGCCTCTTACTTCAATAGCATTTTGGCCAGGAGTCAGCCTTTCTAGTGATTGCATTTGATAGTTCTTCCAACATCTAGGTTAATCCAACACCACAGCATTTCACTAGACAGGCCATTATATGCTGCAAGTTTCATCATCAGGGGAATGAGAGTATTTGTGCCAAATTATGTTTTAGTCATTCAACAGCCTTTTCATTGGATCACTGAAAACTTTGACCTGCTGTAGCAGCAAAGTGAAGAGTCATGGGTTCGCAAAAGGGAGTCGGATTTATCTTCTCAGGGCTGTTAAAAAAAACCCGTCTTGTCATTATTAAATAGGCGTTGAAAGAATAAACAGATCAAAATAGTCAAAAACAACTGTTTCTCTCCAAAAGCAGTGAGAGAAAGTTGGACTCACCAATGATCTCTGAACTGATCTCTTTGGTCAACACATTAAATAATCTGCTTTAAAATATTTTATGTCTGTGTCTGCATGCCTCAACTGGTTTGGTTCACCTTGGTGGTCCTGTAGAAATGGTGTCCTTGTTAATAGTCTGTTTTTGTAGAGCTGCACATTATTAATCTCCTAGCCTATGTGTTCGTTTAGCTGCCAGTGTTGCAACAATAACCAATAATCCATTCTGGATGAGCCTGAAAAAAATCTGACAGCACCGAGTCCAAACATACAGCACGAATGTGGAGTTCAGGCGACTCCATCCAACCTTCAATTCTACACATTTATTGAAGGTCGGACCAACACAGCAGAAGCCACGGCAAGCCATGATGTCAGAATATGTACAGTACATGTACGGGAAGACAAGGAGTAACATCCATCATGACACAAGGCATTATCAGGATTTCCTTTCAAGATACAGTCATTTTAACAAAGAACAGATGGACAAAACTCTGATCAAAAAGGCGCTAACGTGCATAATGTATGTTCCTAATCTGAGACATCAGGTTTGTGTTTAAGATTGATTTGAGTTATTTCGTCCATAAAAATGCCTTGGCTTTACAAATACTGTTACATAGAGATGATATTTAAGAAGATGGATTTACCTATTTACTCTTAAACCTTTTCTTACCTCAGCATTGGCCTCAGCCCAAAAATAGCACACCCATGATAAACTACAGTGTCCGTGTCCTACTCTGTAACTACTTTGTCTATCTGGACCATTTCTTTTTGTTTAGGATAAAGTGGATCCCGTGTGAGTGGTCTCATGTATAAAAATCAGTTTGGTAAAGAAATCAATCAATATTACACACAATAAAAAGCCATACCATGCTAAAAACACATCTACGTGATACACGGTCAGCAACAATACTCTGTACTAAAGTGTGCCAAGAAAATATCTAATTGTCATTATGGGCTATACAAAATGATCTCATGTCTCATATGACAGATTTGTTTTCAAATATAGGTTTCCATAAAAATGTACTTCACTAGATAAATCAGCAGCAAAAAGCACAGTTAAAAACAGCTTTATTAAAAAAAGATTAATGAAAGAAACACTATCTTCCATTCAAAGGACGGGGACCCCTTTGTCTGTATTGGTCTGAGAGTGAAAAAACTAAACGCAGACTCCAATCTCGGGCCTCTTTTGTTCAACATCTGTATTCTTCCATTTCTGCCGGTTGTTAAAAACAACAAAATCCCGTATACAATGATTTTGCAGTGGAGAAACCGATGTAATGATATCTACCAGTCACTGTGGTTCTATTCAAGCACAAAGTATGCAATGACCATTTAGCTATCTATAACTTAAAACCCCCAAAATTGTCCTTTGACAACCCAAACGTTTTGGGGACAACCCAAACAATTGAATATAATATAACACAATGCAAACAAGTTATTTAATCAAAATCTCCTGATAAATTTCCCTTTCCAGGCACATGTTATCATAAATAATACCATTTGTTCAATAATGTACCACCTGGAGAGGTAAAAGACTCAAGGGGACACATTTTAAAACGTCTCCTCATGTTTCTTCATCATTAATGCAACATGTGTGGCAGGAAGATCCCTGCGTGACTCACAGAGAAATCAAAGGCAGATGAACATAACAAGAAGAGGGAGGAGGGGACGGGGGAAAAGGAGGAAAGATAAGGGAACACAACACAAGACTATAAACATGGATTGAAACGTAAAACATTTCTTGGCTAAGGTGCCTGAAAGCTAACAGCAAACAAATGGGTTGTGAAGCGAAAGCTAATGACGGAGCCGAGTGCTTGAGTTTTTCGCTCTCTGGACGTAGTCGAGTCTAAATATAACCCCAAAATTGTTTCCAGTGTTGGGAGGAACAGCATCCCACCCACATGCAAAGCAGACGTAAGATCGGGGGTCTTGTTCAGTTTGAGTTGCCATCAATCAGCTCGGTCCACGTCCCGTGCCAGCATTACGTCATAGCGTACGTTTTCAGATTTAAACAAGTCGGGGAAGTCTTTTTGTGCCCTGGCAGCAAGAGCCGTGCAACGTCGGGACTAATCAGATCCGAGCAGATTGGAGGAACAACATTCAGAGTTACTCAATACCCCGGAGTAGAAACCCCCTGGTGTAAAATCATGTTAGCGTGCTACGGCCACTTGCGTCCAATCACAGTGCAAACATCTTTTGGCTCAGACCCTCAATTGTAAATGACCTTTTTGTAGCACAAAGTAGAGGATTCATTACGCTACATGATTTAAATTCTCAAGTTCTCATGTATTCCTACTAACAAATACGTTTGGATGTCATGTCTTGTAGATTGCACTCAATTAAATGAATATTCTTTGTCCTTATTAATGTGGGTATTGTTAACGCATGCATGTTATCCATTAAGTCCCCTTTTTGTTGATTGTAGTAATTTGAAACCTGGACATCTTGAGGCCTTTTGACCTGCACAGCACATATTCAGTGCTTACTGGACAGGAGTATTTAAGGTAAACACAAATGCATTTGAAGGGAAAAAAAACGAGAGGGGAACCTCTACTTCTCAAGTGCCCATCCGGTGTCAACCTTGGTTGAATTGACCCCTCTGGTTATCCCCTTTCCTGGGGACAGTTTTAATTAGAGACTCTTCTGCAAATTTGTCTTTGCTGACCTTCAAATATGGTGAGGTTCTTCAGGACCAACGAGTGCTCCCAGTCCTTCAGACGGAGGTCCTCTGTAATTGTGTTGAGGATTTCCATCTCGTTCCTCAGCTGAGCCTCTGTGTGGACGTGGGTCACCCATAAACTGCTGGTGTCCTCTGTTATGTTGCTGATCTGTATCTAAGCAGCAGCGGTGGAAACGCAGGGACTGTTAACAGCAGCAGTGTGAATGTTATAATTGAGGTTCCAACATGCCGTTACAATGAAGTTATAGGACATTTTTGTAAAGTGCAATGAACCTGCAAGTCTTGTATCTTCAGGTGGTGAATACTGATGTCGTTGCTGAAGGTGTGATTGACAGCTCCCACCGTCCAATTGACCTCGTCCAGTTTCTCTCTCAGTCTGCTCACCTTTCCTGAGGTTTCCCTGACAGATAAAACAACAAAGACAAATATAAATGTAGTCCTCTAAATCCATAAAACATACTAGTCTCTTTGTAACTGAGGATTTTCACTGTGATAAATGGGAACCTGAAGAGGAGGTCCTGGTCTTGGAGCCAGGTGGAGGCCCGGGACACCTCTGCACTCAGGCCTGTCAGGTTCCTGCCTGTGGAGCTGCTCAGGGACGACAACCTGTCGTCCAGCTGTACCAGGTAGCCCTCTGACTGAAGGGAGTGAGCCTGAATGCTCCTCAGCTCCACCTCCAGGCCCTGTGGGGGAGACAACTTCAAACGATCAAAGGGATTCATCAGACGTGTCACTTTTAAACGTAATTACTAACTCAAAATCCCTGTGAAACAGCGCTGAGTATTAATCTCAAACACTACGTGTCAATCTTTTACAAACTAATATTCCATGATTCTTAAAAGTTATTGTCCTGGGAGGGTCTAAAACCCGTGTTGTACCTTAATGAGGGTCTCTAGCCTCTGAAACCATTCGCTGTGATTTGTGAAGAGATTCTCCAGTTTCCAGATGTTCTCCAGCAGGTCGGCCTGAGTGGACGCCTCGTCCAGCGTCGGCTGGAGCGACCGAGAGCGCTCAGAAAGCCGGGTCGCGTTCTCCATCAGCACCTCCTGCCGTTTAGAAGACAGCTGGGAATGAGACACTGGGGAGAGAAAGAGAAAGACAGGAGAATGAGGGATTTGTTCTAGTCCCCGAATCGAATGTCATTTACTATTAATCACCATAGTCAGAGCAGATGTTGACTTAGTTGCTTGCTCTAATAGCAATTGCCTATTCTTACTGAATGTTTCGTTTTGTCAAATGATGACGTCCATATTGTGATTTCAAAACTAGTTCCCAGAGTTGGCGTTTACTCAGAGATTCTCTGTTTACTGAGGGCACATGGTGTTTAAGTTGGCCTCTTCATGTTGGTGTTCGTCCAACACTTGCAGGACAGAGAGCATTAGCCAGTGTGGCTTCTACAGATATCACGTATGGTTTATAATGATGGAAAGTAACTAAGATAGGGGCATCTTTTTAAAGAACTTGAGTATAATTTTGAGGTACTAATTACCAGTTTTTAGATCCTCAGTAGAATAAATGTAAAATCAATAAGAAATAACCTACTTGATATTATGTGTGATAAGCCCGTTTTACCTTACACATACATTAAGTTGATGAGATGACAAATTGTAAACACACAAATAGGAATGTTTTCCTTTAAGAGTCTGTGGAGAGTTTGAGGACAACATCTGAATTACACACATTTTAATTTGGCTGTGACATCACATTTCCCAACAATGGACATATAACCAAAGCTTTCTTCTCCCTTTTTGGCTCTGCCATAAAGGCCACTTTTTCTTTTTCTCCGTTCTCCACTGTGCCTAATGAGAAAAAGCTCCTCGGTTTCATGTTATGTTGCGAGCAAGTTGCATAGTAACGGCTGGAACGCCTGGGAGATATTTTGTAACCAGATCCTCAGCATGACGCCATGACGACATTCTCTCCGCGGGACAGCAAGGACCAATGTGGACAAAATTCCTCAAATGAGAAAAAAGGGGAATAACTTGAGGGGAAGCAGATAATTCCCTTCACACATGTTACATGTTCTTCAACACAGTTGCACCCCTGTATGTATGTATGTATGTATGTATCCACATCTGTCTGTGTGTGGCTTTATGGGCTCGCTTCAAGAACGAGAAACGCATGCATGACCTCAAAACAAAGAGAATTCATGCAAAGCCACAGTTCTGCTAACAAAACATAATTCCTGCTAATTATGTGTGTTAGGTTTATTCCTAATGACCTGAAAAACTAAATAAACCCAAATCTTTCAACCACTCAGATCGCTTGATTGCTAAATGATGGTCCGTCAACGTTGGTTAAGACACACACACACACACACACAGTTTCCAAGCAGTAGTGGTCCTCCAGAATGAAGAAGAATCCTAAGACACATGGTAATCTTTTTCCACAAAATATTTTAATTGCTTAATTTATTGTTTTACTCAGCTCCTTAACGCATATTTTTCACAGTCACAGAACTGGCATTCTGTATGGTTGATCCTACATTTCGGTTCCTTTTGTGGACTGAATAATTTAATGAAACTGTCAAAGTATTTGAGTTCAATCGCATCGTATATTTGCACTTTCTCTTCAAACAAGCACAATGAACCTACCCAATCTAAAAAAGGCACTTGGAGAACTGCGGCCCTGAATTTGCCTGTAATACATTGTACGAGCAGGTGTTTGACGACCCACAAATACTGCACGTGTGCGCAATAAGGCAAAACCCTTTTCATTACCCCAACATTTTCAGTGTGGTTTCACTGATTTAAGGTGCAGAATTACATTTCTTAACCACAGACCAAAACTGTGTGCTATTAGAGTGAAGACATGTCAATTTATTATTATAACATGCTGCCAGAATTTACACAGATTTTCCTCTGCCCTTTGTTTCCTACGGTTACAGCGCGAAAATAGGAAATATCAATCAGCCGTGGAAATTGCTCTTCACCAGTAGATGTCTGTTGAACTATAGCCTTGTTAACATACAGAGCTCTGTATATACAATCAACCAGACCACAGTGGTCATTGACGGGGAACAGAATGGAGATTTAAGGCTTTTCTATTCACACAGCTGTTCCTAAAGCAATGATAATGGGTTTGTCTGGCCATTTGGGGGCAGCAGAAAGAAATATGTTAATACTTTATGAATATAATTGTTTATTTGGGGTGAAGTTAATACAATTTTTCCACATTCAACTAAGCTTAATAGACCAAAATGGACAATTAATGAAATGTAAATGTTTTAAAGAAGCAAACAGTGTATCTTCAATTGTAAATAAAACTGCAGGGGAATACCATGTATTAGTTTTATCTCACTAACAACAAACAAGTAATTATCTATTTTTAAAACAGGAGGAAAAAGACATATAACTAGATAGCTCTAATTGCACTTCACTTTCAGTTGTCAGCCCTCATAATATCCGACTGCTTCTGAGTTGCAACAGCAGGGATGAGCGGGTGTTATATGACTTCAGGCGAAGATGGAGAGAAACAACGGAAAGAAGACACCTCGCTCTGACAAATCCATCTCTAACTGAGCTCAGCTCTCTGAGATGGGAAAGTTATTTCAAGTAATTCAGGGAATCTCAGGGAAAGTAATTTCAAGTGATCCTTTTCATTTCACACACACACACACACACACACACACACACACACACACACACACACACACACACACACACACACACACACACACACACACACATACGAGCAATAGATGACAGCAACACTCAAAACAGATTAGTTCCAAGTTCACAGCTTCATGGTGTTTTGACTCTTCTGGGGAGAAGCTGACATCCGAGGGTTGAATGTTGGGAGAGCCGTCCCACCCGGCAGCTGGACTTAAATGTATATCAAAATGGATTCAGCTGTTTGTTCGGTCCTCGCATGGAGTGGACTCATATTATTTGCTTTATTTAAACATGGTTAGCACTCGCAGTAAATAAACTAAACATTACCTAAAGTGTAATTTTGACTTTTTTGACATATGTTGAATGCTGTGGATTCTGAAAAGAAACATGTTTCATAAACAATATGTTTCATATTAGCATCATATCACGTTTGCGGACACAAATTTTGTTACATGGTTCGCTCTGTGAAACAAAAAGTTACATCAAGGCAACAAGTACTTAGTTCAAGTTAGAATAAAGATCATGCAAATGTTGCTCTGTTTCTTGTGTTTATTTCATCCTGTGCAATCAGCTCAACGTTGTCAAGATGGGATCCATATGGTTGTTTATTTATTGTAGGACGTTCTCTCTGCCAGTTTTTCTTTCACAAAACACAAAACAAAAAACGTATCTCGATATCCTTCTGAGGACCTCAACCCACTTTCAATCTGAAACCGTGTCTAACCGTCAACTAAATATCTGTTTCTGGCATATTTGTCAGTGTTCGTCCCCACAACATCATACACAGTCATGTTTTCGCGAGATTTTGGTACATTATATTGAGCTGCATTCATTTCCGGGGTCATTTGACCTTACAATAATCGCTACTATCTACATTCCCCCTGGCCTTTTTCCCCCAGAAGGAAGGTGAGCCTGCACAATGTGACCATGTAAACAGATTTATGTCCATACAACATGGGTAAAACACTCCCAGACCCACTCGGACAGAAGAGCTGTCTGGATAGTGTCACGGGAAGGGCAGACAGAGAAGACAGAGGGAATTCTATCAGAGCTGCGTTTCTTTGTGGGCATAGCCAAAGACAACATGGTGCCTTCATTCATCAGGAGGCAGTTAAAGAGCACCCATGAAATATGTCCTCTCCCTGCCACCCAAAATGTCTTTGATGTCAAGCTACACATTCCACACACTTATTATACAATGAGTCTATTCACTTTAAAGTTCTCTGAAATAAAAACCCAAAGATACAAAAATTAAATTGTCCTCTGTATTTCTGAAAGATGTTCACTGAACATTTTTGTTCTCCAAGTCTTTGATATATTTTCTGATTGATGTGTGTTTCTCATCCCCTGATAATAGTTGTCATTATTATAGATTCATGTATACATTTAGTAGCAGCTGCAAGGACATTTTCTTGTACAGTTACATTAATAAACAATGTCTTGTCCCTGCTCTCTATTTCCGTGGTGACAGTCTTTAGATTGACATTCTCTTATCCTGATCTAGTATGATTTTAAAAAGTAATAAAGTTATGAATGTGTTTGGGATCTGCACATGTTTCAATTTACACACATTCTTTCTGGTTCTCTATTAATCGGAAAGGAGATGGTGTAAGGATTGTTTGTGAGTGTTAATAACCAGACTCTCCTCCAACCTATAAGCCTTTCGTGACCTGTGTCTTTTTAACAACGTTAATAAGTCTGTTGTAAGTTGAACGTGCTGCAGTGCCCTGTCACTAGGCCTCGCACCCATGGCTACTAATCTCACCTTCCAGCTCTCACAGGCTTTTTAATAAAGCTACATAATAGAAGTGTGTTTACCTGCGTATGTGTTGCAAAGATCAGAAAGCAGCATCATATGACTTTAAAGGGAACCTTCCATTACAAATAGATGTTTTTTGTGACTTAAATTGAATAAACACAATTATGTGGAACATGTGCATGTAATATTATGACTTCATTCTTTAGATTTCTTGAAATTCTTTTTTGAAAAACAAAATAGCTCATGATTACTTTGCATTACTTTGTTTTGTTAAGTGGCCAGCTGTTCTCTGGCCTTAAGCATTCCGCTTACAACGACAAGTAAAAAAGACAGAGTTTCCTCTACTCGTGTTTGCAACCTCCTTTAACAGACTCTTAATACATAAGTATGTAAGTGTAAAGGTTATTTCTTTGTGGCCAAGTTCGTTTCACCATTTGCAAAGAAGAAATCTCTCAAAAGACAAAATACGTTGGGAACCAGAAACAAATCAGACTTTCCAAAATGTCAGTGTTCTCAATAAACCACACTAACTTTGACCGTTCAGTTCGAGCTTCTTTGTGTGTGTCAGTGTTTGACAACAAAGAAAAGAAGATGACGGGTTTGAAAAAATTGGAAAGCTTCTTATTTTGTATTTTCAGTGCAAACCTTGACTACACCACAGTCTGGTTCACAAAATGAATGAAAGAACGTAAATGTGACTACTTT